CGAGCACACGCCTAGAAGGAAAGCAAACAAAATCATAGATGTTTCTACATGACAGTAGTCCTGGCGCCCCCTTTGTGGGGCAATCTGTGAGCAAATAACTCATTAGTTCGTCGAGTTAAAACAACACACACACGCACGCACGCACAAAAAGGGTAATATCATACTATGTTCGCAGGCAATAAAATATAAATATATAAAAAAGCAAATATGGGAGTAGCAGGGGTCCACTATCAGGAAGGCGAACCCTGCTGGCTCGCTCTAGGACTTCAAACACTCCACCAGCCAAGCAGAAAACAAAGCAAATAAGGAACACTCTTGCGCAGAATTCTCCACCAACTAATGCGGAGGCTGGGCGTCCAACCACTGCGCCTGCCAGGTCCGCTCTGCAAAACTGCCAGCCATTACCGCAGCGCACGCAGATGATGTTTCTTCTCGTACGGGAGAATATCGAGGGCGGATGGAAGTCCCGATAGCCCCATCCTACTAGTATGTACGGAATAGTATGTACGCAACAGGAAAAGCCGGATAGCGGCGAGGATCCTCCTGCTCCTTACAGAACTCAGACAGCACCATACTATTCTTGAATAATAAGGTTGCTCCCGAACTTATTACTTTTAATCAGCACAGAGTAGCTCAATAAAGTTGACAACCTAGAGCGTTTAAGGTCCACAAGTGCTTCTAGATAACTAGATGGTATTGTACTGTACTTTCCTCCCTAACACTAAGAGTGAAGCTGAATCTCGCAATTGCCTCCTGGGGTTTCCGTTTTGAGCATACTTCGAAGTGGAAAACTGTCATGTGGAATCGGCGGAGAACTCGATAGAGAGATATTCCCAAGACGACCAAAAAGCAAGACGCTCGTTCTGGCCCTAACCGTTGTTCCCCATGGCTTAGTCCGGCTCTGTGTTTCCAATTCCAGCAAATTGCCACCGATCGACAGCGACAAAACCCCGAAACCCGGTACGCTGCAGACTGGATTAGACTGGATAGACTGGGGCGTTCATGCACGACGAGGAATGCGCATGTTGTAGCAAAAATGAAGGGCAAGGACAATGCAAGGGCGTAGCAGAGATGTTGAGATTTTTCAAAGATAAGCCCAAGTGCATCTTAAAAAGGGGGTAGCAGGTAATCCCTAATTGGGAAGTTTTTGGCCCATCGACCGAAGATGCACGGAGCTTTGCGATTCTATCAGACAGAGTTTTGAAGCTGATCGCGACGCGGATCTTGCATACCCGCGATTTTTGCTTTTTGCTCATATTTGCTTTTTTTTTTTTTTTTTTCTTTTTTCATGCTTTCCCTGTCCATCATCTGGGGGGGCGACTGATCAACTATTACCAAAAAACCGGCCGGATCAGTCGGAAGCCAGAATGGATGAGCAACCCAAAGACAGCTTCGCTTTCCTTGCGCAAAAGTTGATATAATGGAACATACGGACATCTAAGTCCGCGATGCTCAACTGATCAAGATGACCCTGCGTCTGAATTTCGCTGCGAAAACATGGTTTGACCATTGTACCCAACCGGGTGTGGCTTAACTTCTCAGCGATGAAGAACAGCGTAAAAAGAAATCATTGTCAAAGACGATGGAGTTTCTTTTTCTATATGTTATGTTATTGCTTTCTTGCCCCTGTCCAGGGGCAACCCAAAGCCTAGGCCAGCTAGCTCCTGGTTGAATGCCTTTCCAAAATCAATATATGATATCCTCCCTTTTAGAAGTCAGGTTACGGGCCTGCCTCCTTTTTTTTTTTTTTTGCCCGTGAGCTCATGAGATGGGGGATGTATTGGTACATCGCGGTTCCCTTCCGCAGGACAGCTAGCTACTTCGTATACGCAAAATGACAATTTGTCGAAGAGGGAGGCCATTGACAATTGACAGGCAATGAATGTTGGAAGTCTTCCATCATATCGGGAACCAATCGCAATGGCAAAACCAAGGACAGGAAGCAGGCGCGTGGGCGAACAAGGGTCCTTCGCCTCTTCCTCAACGGCCACCCAAACGCCGATCAGAGGGCCCAAAACGAAAAAAACGGATAGCGAGGATATCACATAAAGAAAGCCTGAATAATAATCATCTCGCAGCTCATTGATCAATATCGATGGATGATCAGGAGTGGAAGGCCTCGCCGTTTCAGGGCTGCGAGAGCGGGGAAGCTGTGGCGTGGCCGCCCCTCACTCGGCTCCGTCTTTCGTCGGTGTTCGATGCTCTGATTGACCAAGGCCAACGATGGAGGCTGCCTTAGTGCACAGCGCCGTCAACTTAAAGTCTGCAAAGGACAGCCAAGACCTGCATTCCGAGGAACGTGTTTGGCTATAGGGAGGTGATCAAGTTCATCTAAGGGTTCGTGGTTGCCCTGATTTCGCTCTCGAGTCAAGAATAATGTGCGACGCCCAGTTCGTCGTTCGCATTTCGCGTTTTTCTTTTTCTGTATATATAGAAAAGCATTCTCTGCAGAAACCAAAGAGGATGATATGATCGGACCAGTGGCTGAGGAATGAGTTGATTGACCAACGCTAAGAAGTACAGGAGCAGCGTGCAGCTACTTTGGGAGTACATCTGGGCTTTGCATGGGGCGCGGCGGAAGTACCTGGCGTGTACTCTGTGCTGCATCTGGTTCTGTCCATTTCTTGGATGCGTTGCGCCCAAGCTTCGTTGTCTGCTCGCTCCTGGTTGTCGTTCGGGCAGGATGAGGGAGAGGGATAGCTAACGAGCTGGCTAGCGATTGCAAATTTTGGCGCTCAGCAAGCCTGCCCCTGCAAACTGTGCCAGAAGACTAAAATAATAGAAGCTACTGAATATAATATGGTAATAAAGGACAAAGAAAATGCCCTTATCATTCGTCCTCCAATCCGAGAAACGAGCATTCTCGCCAAAGAGGACGCTGCACGCAATAACAACGACGACAATAACGACAAAGCATTATCCTGCATCCCAAGTTTCGCCACCTCCTCATTTCCCAAATGCATCGCAGAACCCATACTCGGAAAAAAAGAGACAAAGCTAGCAAAGCTAGCTCTTTACAGTACTTTATGCAGCATCAGCCCCTCTGCGATCGCTCACTCCTCACTCACACTGGGGTTTCCCCTCTGCCGAGTCCACAGCCGACAGGCGTTTCGGATACGGACGGTGCCTTCAGCTGGAATGCCTTCGCCCTCTCGGCCCAGCGTGCCGATCACTTCTGGACTGACAAGGGCGATCCGACCAGCTCGAGGCCTCACCGCCACCACCTCCCCAGGCTCCAGGCTCCAGGCTCCGGGCTTCGGGCTTCACTTTCCCCCCTCCCTTCTGTCTGTCCTTCTCATTCAACCCCGCAATGGAACCAGGGGAGACCCCAGGGGACAAAAAGACGATCGATGAAATAAATCAGAAACATCAACAAATCTAGACCCAGCCACATGCAGAGAGAAGGACATGATGAAGTAGAAGAAGCAGCAGAAGAAAAGGAGAGAGAAGAAAAAGTTGTGCCACACACTGTTTTGTGTTTGCCCTCAGACTTGGTTATGAATCATGAACCATGAACCATGAACCATGAACCTTTTCCTCCGTCTCTGTTCTGATTATTATCATCTCTTCATCGCATTTCTTCATTATAAACCAGGGCGAGCATGGGGAGACGAGGAAGCGTCGCGGAATGTCTCGCTCTCGGTCGAAGTGGCGAAAAGATAGGGGTTCAATCGCAACAATATGAGACGCTGCTGGGTGCAAAAATCATGCTCCGGATCAGCGGCCATCTGCTTCTTGTTGGTCTCCCTTTCTCGAGGACTGCGCAGCTGGCAGGCGGGAAGGAGCCGTTGTGTACAGAGTACTAGATGAATACATATATGGCTAACGGGAACATTCATTCATTCAGTCATTAATCCCAAGGCATGGCCTACTCGAATATATCGACCCTTGCCTGCCATGTATCTCACTCCTTCATATTCCGCACGGAGGGGCAATTAACGTCTGTACAGTACATACAATACTTCGAACCCAGTGCGGGAAGGGCATGTACGAGTGATAGCTACCAGTCACCTTCCACCTCAAGGCAATTTGACCGTACAGTAGGGCTATCAAGGTTCTTCATCAAATCTGTTTTTTTGTTTATTTACTTTATTTTACTTTATTTCCTGGCCTCGGCCTGTCTCTCCACCTACATACCATCAAAAAACGAAAGAAACACTTTGCGTTCGCGCCTCAACCCCGGATGGGCGCGCGGGCCTCCCACCTCAAGAAGTTAAACAGGTTAAGGCGCGCCTGGACAGAAGCAGGGACCATGTGCTGCAGCTATTCTATCGCCTTTCCGTGGTACAAGACCCCCCCCCCCCCCCCCTTGGGGTCTGAACGGAATCACGTGTGTCCAAAAAATATTGGGGAACTTTCCCTGGGAAATGGGAATCAGACCCATGCCCATACAGTCCCCAACCCCTGGTGTTCACGGTCTCGTGGATGACACAGTTTGAATGGGACTGTTGTAAAACTGTTGTTCTCATAACCATTTTCGCAATTTGCCTAGGTTGCGGATACGGGATCGTGGACAATTAGCCCAGTATCTGCCGCCCCATTTGGAATTACGCAACCCCATCGTCTCCCCCCCCTTTCATCCCTCCCACCCCTCCCTTCTCGCTTCACTCCCTCGAGTAGTTGAAGTAAGGCGCGCAGACGGCCCTGCTGCGAAAAGGCGTAAAAAAAAGAGAGAGAAGAGAAAAGCTTAAACCACCCCCGTCTATGAGGTAATTGCATTATGTGAGACAAAACATGGAGGAGATCTACGATCAATAGCAGATCAATGGCAGATCATTTCCTTTGCGATCTTTTTTTTTTTTTGTTTTTATTTTAATTTATCCACTTATCCGTTTATTTATTATCAGCTGCATTAACATTTACCAAATAATCAATCCCATTCTACATGCTACTGTAGATACTTGTAGATAGATACTGTATGGTTTTTGTTTTGTTTTGTTTTTGAGGGAAGGGCCGGGAAGACTATCTCTTTGACTTTGCTCTCATCCCGCCCAGGACTTTATATCATTGGCACGGGAATTCCCTCCGATCATCTTTGTTGAAGCTTTCTATGTACTGTACGGAGTACGGAGCAAGGAGTCCGCTGTTGTTTATACAGTGAAGAAAGTATAAAATAAAAATCTCACCGGCCAAAAGTGGCTGACGCTGCGTATGTTAGTTAACAGTTTCCCATACCTTGTATTTTACTTAGCTATTATTTTATTTACTCCCATCTTTTAAGCCAAAAATATCACCCATATTTCCTCTTTCCCCCTTAAATATATATATATACACATATATATACAAATAGTTAGATATATAGATATATAGAAAGGGATATTCCATTGAATACCCCAACACGGAACCAAAACCCTTCTTCCAACTTTCTCCACAAATTCGTCAAAACGGGTAGTTAATTTAGTTGTAGTGTAGTTGTAGTTAGTATAGGGCTCAATCTGAGTTTTACAGTTAAGAGCAACAAATTTTTTCCCTGAGCGAGCCTACACATACAACCTACGCAAAGTAAAACTATGAGAGGACCAAGCTCCATGCCATAGGCCCCCGCCCAACCTTTCCCCCTCCCTCCCCTCTAGCGCGAACTTGCGCCCGCGGTCGCATTCACGCTTACTTTCTAACCTATTTCTTTTCCCCAGTGGTGGGGCGAGACTAAAAAATTGTGATGGGCGGTTCGTCGTTGGGTTTTTTTTTTTTTTTTTTTTTTTTTTTCCTTCGATAGATATTTCCAAAAGTGGATAACATGTGTGCTAACGTACCACATTTGGCGCAGCCGGCCAAGGTAGGTAGATCGTTCAATAAATAAAATAAAATAAAAACATCCTATGGGAGCTGTTATTCATCGACATGTTTCCTGCAAGAAGCGATGTAGCTGTATAAACTCTGATCAAAATGGGGAGCAAATCCTGCAGGCCAAATGGGGAAACCCCCGTAGAAATCGAGGAAAAGACGACAATAATACGTATGCATGCATACATATATGTGTATGAATGGCTGACTGGCGGACCATTTTATTGTTCTAAACCCCTGATAAAAAAGGAAAATCCGTATATGATACACATGGCATGCCACATAAAACACATTTCGTATACCCTCGAGAACGAGAGGAAAGAGAAGAAAGAAAGGGGGAAGGCCAAGGGGTTGACGGGGTTCTTCGACCCTCCGAGGGATAGGAAATGGAAAACAAGTAACAGTGTCCTCTTTCATTCTCCTATTTTTTTTTTTGAAAATGGAGTACAAGTACGCTCTGAGGGAAGGCTGAAATAGGCGGAACTAGAAAAGCAAGATGCAGGAACGAAGAAAAAACAGGGAAAAGAAAGGGGGGAACTCCAGATTCTAGGAAGTATGTAGTAAGTAGCCCATCTATCGCCCGCTCCCCTTATATGCATAAACTACATCTTGTCAACATCATATAAAACAGAATCAAGGGAGTTTGAAATGAAGATAAAACAAGATTATAAAAAAGGCGAACTCAAAACCGGGACCATCAAGTTTAAAGAATCACCATCAATAACTTTAAAACACAACCTTGGCAACAAAACAACAATAACATCGGGGTAATATAACTCTTTTTGAAGTGTAACAAACACATGAAATTAGTTGGAAAAAGAAAAGAAGGAAGGAATAATAAAAGAATGAAACATAATTGCATTATAAAACAGAATGAAACAAGAAAAAACCTTATCTGAAAATGTAATTTTCCCCTTTATGAGCACCTAGAATAAGAAAACTTCAAGCCCGGTATAAGTAGGCAAGGAGAAAGCAAAAGCGACTTAAAATATCACAAATGCTCTGTGAAACACATTGTTGTGGAAAGTGATTTGCGTCGCTATATTCAGTTTGGGGGTTTGTAATATAGCACACGCCAGTCCAGCTGCCATGCAAATCGTTGTTAAAATGTAAGAGTCCAGCCGAAAATTCATAACAAAGGTACAAGCCGTATAGAACAGATCACTATTAAGTTGCCTGTCACCGTACGCGGTCGCTGGTCTGAACGATACTCGTGCCTATTTCGGGGATACAGAACTCCAAATGTCGATTGCGATTTTGCAAGGTCGAATGGGCATCCTCGGACAATGTGTGAATTGCCTGATGGAAGTCCTTGAAATATCGAACCACGTTTTCCCACAAGAAGGGGTGTAGTTGGTATGACCAAATGATAGAATATGGAAGGCTAGTGAAAGCTGCATAGAGGAAAGGAGAACTGATCATCGAGTTATGATCAGTGAAATTTCTTCAATGCAAGATGCGACGGATCCGGATATGCCGGCAATACTGTAACCCCTCGGGGGTATTAATGTATGGCTAGTATGATGATAAGTTAGCGACAACGAACAATTCGTCGTTACGTGCAGAACAAACGCTTTGCTAGTAAAATCTCATGGGACGAGGAAGTGAATATAGGGGAAAGTAAATATTTTTTTTTTTTAAAAAAAAAAAAAAAAAAAAAAAAAAAAAAAAAAAGGCAATAACGTCAAGTATTCACTTACCCAGCTCTAGCATTGCTATTACCGAATACTGCAGATCTCCTGCTAAGATTCGTGATAATTCCAATTCCATCGATTTCCTGACTTGTCTTCACGTAAAACCCCATTAGAATTTCACCCCGGCGAGTGTCTAGTTCGTAAATGAGATACAAATTAGCATTAGAGAAAAAGCAAGAAGAAAAACCAGGATTAGAGATGGTGGATCTACCAAACACAAATTCGCTGCACGTAGCCTGAGGGTCCCTGTTCCCAAAGACCTGGCTCGTTGAATCTTCGTAGCAAAACTCCAGTCCATATATCAAGCCATTGTGATAAACTTTCACGGAAATTAGAAGCTTCGACTGGATGAAGGCACATTCTAGAAACAGTTGTTCTGGAAGGCCATTGGGGGATCGAGATTGTCCCAATTTGTTCCCCCTATATCCAACTTGTCCATTAGGTAGTTTAGCGGTCGAATATTTGGAGTTCAATTTGCTAACGTCGTCAACCGTATGAGTGCTAAGGCCGCCAGAATATATCACCAGCTTGATCTTCCTAATTTTCTTAAAATTTTCAGTAATATGCTGGCGAATTTCACCTTCGGTAAAATCGATCTGCTTCGGTATGCCATTATTGCCGGAATCTCCATCGACATATTCGATATAGGACCTGCAGAGATCATCATAGTCGACGTATATTTCGATGAAAGCAATGCCAGCCGCCGAAGTAACTAATACCTTGCCATTGTCGACAGACCATACTTGGATGGAGTCATCAGAGCAAAGAGGTGAATCTCTTGGCAACCGAAAACATGGGTGAAATCTAAATCGAAGGGTATCAAGTCTGTGCCAGGTACATTCGTCTTCCTCAAGGCAAAGTCGTAGTCCCTGTGCCTTTGTTCGAGTGGAATATGGTTCTCGAATGGTGAAACTTCGATTCAACGGGACGGAGTCGTCACACATGATGCCGCTATCCTGATCATGACAGCCAAATAAACGGCCGATTACACGGAGATGACCACCGATTCCAGAGTTAGCAGCTTCCCAATTGCTCCCACATTTATTTCCATAATTGGCAACAAAATTAATATCTGTACGGGTGCAGTCGGTGAAAGCCGCAACCACTTCTTCCATGGCAGATGGGTAGTTTTGCAGAGCATAAGATCCAAAAAGCGCCAGCTTGATATGATCTTCAACAGAGCCCGCTGCAGCATGGCCTGTGATTGTCTGGGTTCCCTTGTCCCAGTGGGTATCAAGTAGCAGTGCCGAGACATATTGCGTTTGGCTTTCTTGGGGACCAAAATAGCGTTTGACTGCTTCGAGTACAACGTTAAAGAGCTCGCCCGTGTCCGATGTAGTACCATCCTGTTGCACAACGCCAAGCTTTCTAAGCTCGTCAACGGTTCTGTCGCAGCGGATAATATGTATTCTAGCCTCGTTTCTCATCTGATCCGATTTGGAGTCACGTAAGCTTAGTGTTCCAGCCTGCCACTCCTCTTCAAATCGGAAACAGCGCCTTCCGAACTTGTTACGATACATCTGTTCCCCAGTAAACGACTGCCACAGATAAGCAGCCATTCGGAATTTCCGTATTGCAGTATCCAAACTGTTTTCCCTCCCGAGCTACCCTTTCAGGGACAGCGTCAAAATGACCATCAGAATCGCTCCCCAGTACAATTGCTAGCTGGAGGGGAGGAGAGTTTATCAATGGTAAATAATTTATATTCACCCATGATGAGTGGGACATTGGATTCTGAATTCTCGAGGGTGAGAATTCAAGCCGTAGTTTATTCGGGCCCGGGACAAGATGAACCAAAGCCTTGAAGTGCGATTCATAGACAGGCCAGGTGGTGGGAGGGAACGAATCTTGGGGATGATAAACGGTTAAGTTTCCATCCATGGAGTGTTGTCGCGCGTCTCCAATCTGACCATAAATCAAAAGGATTTTTTGGTGGACCTAATAAAAAAAGCCACCCTTAGCAATTGCACACTATCCATTTCAGCAAAAGCCAACTAAAAGCTTCAGCACATACCCAGGAGTTATCGGAAATAGAAAAAACCCTCGGAGCATATAGAGGCGCCGGCGCCGGCCCTCTTCCGGAATTGGTTGGAGAAAGAAGGCTACCGTTCTAGAAAAATTATAGGACATGAGCAACAAAATCCAGATATTGGGATGGCTTGCAGCAAGTGCACCTGTATAAAGGAATGGGGTCCCGGAAGGCAAAACTCACTGTAGTACTGCCCCGGGGGGTTGAGGGGGATCCAATTGGAACAGGTCTCTGAGGAGGTGCCACTTGGGTCGCGTATCCGTTCGTCTTCAACTTGGGGAGGATGGGTAGATGTGGGGATGGTAGATCGATACTGTTGCTTTTGAAAAAAGAAATAGGGGAGCTATGCAAACTGGCGGTCGGGGAATCGAGATTAGAGGACAATTTGTCAGGGAACACATCGTCATTGGGATTGAGTGAGGCAGCAGATGGGGTCAAGGTGAAAGTTGCCTTTGAACGGCGACGGAGGTTCTTGAAAAACGGCATTATTTCATTCAATGGAATGAAATTCTAGCGGATTGCCAAGCTGTCCTGTCTCATTGCATCTGGACCCGGTTGAGATAGAGATTCATATGAAGAAATAGAGAAAACAGATGAATGAAAACGAAGAAGTAAATGCAGTGCAGCAAGAATAAAGACGAGGAAGAGAGAGCGCGCACGCGAGCACGAAATGGCAGGAGGGGCCCCGGGACATAGAAAAGAAAGAGCGGAGGATTGCAAATCACGCATACAGCGTAAGCAACCAGAGAGTTCCAGAGGCCGGAAGACTCCAGGAGGGAATTAAACGAATGTCGATATGTTCAGATGCGAATGGATGCCACTGCCACAAGAAGGTAAAGAGATTGACACGAACGCGAGGCAGTGGCCGAGAGAGCGAAATGGAAAACTGGTAGAGTCGGTAAGGAGCGAAGAAAAGAGAGGCAATCAAGCCAGTCCTTTTGTTTTGGCCACCAGCCCCAGGTCTAGCTGGTTAAGCCGTGTGTGGTCAATAGCTGTGTTGTGGACAGCGTGTGGATGGTGATGCACTGCACGAGAAAGAGGGGAAAAAAATGACGGGAGATTGCGTAGCAGGTCGAGGTGGTCGACAATGGTTTCAACCCACGACGTAACCACGGATGAGCGGTCCAACGAAGTTTGTCGGTGCGCTCGCTGCGTGCAAAGAGCCATCATGCAGACAGACAACATGCAGACAGACAACATGCAATTATAGACACTGATTAGATGTTGCAGTTGTCATCCTGGCTGTCACTGATGCTCGATGACGTCCCTCGCTGTCAAGTTTTGCCCACCGCCACTGGGACATGTTGGCATGAGACAAGCATCATCTTGAAGATGCGCGGCCAGGCAATGTCGGTGGGGGTCTCGATTGCCCTGTTTATTGGTTTTCCATTCAATGCTGTCATCGCCACAAGACACCCGCTGCTTCTTCTAGAACTGCGGAGAGCGCTGGCTAATGGCTTGTAGATGGGGAAAAAATATGTGCACAGTTAGTTATTCACCCTCGAGGAAAGGCTAGTCAACGGTGTATCCAACAAAGGTCAAAAAGAAAAGAAAACCGTAAGAAAACTAAAATAACGATAGCAGTGGGGATTTACTGTGGTTTATATAGATAACTAGCCCTAAAGCGCACCCAGCGCCCATCGTTCGTCGGCTCATGGAAATGGGACGACGTCGCCCAGAGTCAACCCGAGAATTTATCACCTTGTGTCAAGCTCTGAACACTTGTAGATTGTAGTTTTGAGCAATTCAGCCCATTAAAAACTATACAGGATAAAATTACGCCCAGCTAAGGGCTACTATTTCTTTATATCAGATATCTCAATATAATCCAGTAGTTAACCTTGCCTCCCCGTGCCTGGTTGATCGTTACACTAAATCATATCCTGTCTTAAAAGCTTTAAACTTAGTGAAGATAGAAATTGGCAAACATTGCTACTATCACACCGTCAAATCAAACTTTTAATAGTTATATACTTCAGTGACTTGTTAGATACACCAAATCTCACTCTTACAAGGCATTTTGAATAGTGCAATTTGATAATTACATGGCTGGGCAAACCTTGCGCCGATTTGAGCCTTTTATCAGATCATCTAAATTGAAACAAAAATAACCTGACCCGGGTCGATATTTCGGATTTGCACCCCTGTGGCGCAACACTTCCAATTATGAAAGTTACCAGAATGGGGTTTTTGATAGGAAGCTTTATGGGCAAAGCCATGTAGAAACTGCAGGAGAATCCCAGAATTTGCATTGAGTAAGGAGTACTGATAAAACTTCTAAACTATAACCACTTGTTGCTCAACAGAACCCAAACTTATCCATATGAAGTAGCATATTCTAACTGGTTCAAAGAATGACAAAATTTTGGCTGGAAAAAAAATCTACAGGTGATCTGGTGCTCTATTAACTAATGAATGACACTCATTTAAAGGCCTACACGCACATTGTGCTTCCTACAGATTGTCTAATCCCGCACCTGCCATGAGCCCACCTCACCTGTACTATCCATTGAATGAAGGGCCATGCCTACGCCATTCGGCATCAGCGCCCATGATCCGCTCTTGAATCGACCGCTTAGCGGCCGACGATGGTGCCACCGTGGAACTCACCGCAACGATTGAGCGTCTAGAACAATTGTATTGTAGTGAGGTAGCAGGGCTGCAGAAAAACCTGAGGAAACACCTCGAGGAGCTTTCCGGTGTCCGATTCAGATATGAAAAGGAACGGCTTGCAGATGGAATTACCCGTAAAGCAAGGTACAACGCAGCGCTGCTCGGGAGGAGCAAAACAATCCTAAAACGAAGTTGATAAATTTGATGGACCGGATGGCCCGAGAGGGAGAAAGCTGGTCTGGCATTTATTCAACGATTGCCTCCGATGACGACAGGGTCAAGCATGTCTTGGAGGCAAATAAACCATCCACTTCTAAATACGACGAACCAGGCGCAGGCCTCGAAGCTGCATGCCGAATGCGCAGAGCAGGCTAACATGTCAGCTCTGAAGAAGATGAAAAAGGAAAAGATTAATTGAGGAATTTTCAGGAATGTAATTTAGTTAATCTTTTGTGTCAAATCCGTCAAATCCACCGCTTAGTATTCAGACAATGTATGGTTTAAAAAGTTTCTAATATATGCTCTGATATTCTCTGCGACCATGAAAAAAAAAAAAAAAAAAAAAAAAAAAAAACGCCACGGCTTGTCACGTGGAGTCAACCAGCCCAACCTCGGAAAGTAGCTGGAGCAGTCTCCCAATTTCACCCGCTCTTGTTTTCCCCCGCCGGAATTGTCTGACTTTTCCACACCGTAGATATGGCCAAACTATCACCAGATGAAATGCCATCATTGAAAAGCACCCTCTATCCCGGTCACTTGATGATTTATGTGGCTTACTTCAGGAAGATGAAAAAATCTATGAGTCGCGACTAATTTCCTATGACAGCATCCTTGATAACTTGACCAACTCACCACTTCCCATGGACCACGCCCTCCTTCACCGCGTCCTCCTTCAGCCTCCTGGACCAGTCCGGCGCTTCCCGGTCGCGGTCGTTCTCTCGGCTCCGTGGGCTGAGCATCAGCAAAAGGCAGATGGGTAGGAAGCGCCGGTCCCCCGACAAAGTGACACAGTCGTCCATGCGGTCGGGCAGCCAGCCGTCCGGGAGAAGCAAGGGGGACGAGCTCACCTTCTCGGTCCAGCCGATGCACAGGCCGAGCCTCCATGAAAGACGCGGAGACGAGCCCTACGACAACTGGATCCTTCGCTGCGTGGTGGTCTCGCCCGCTGGGCGGCCGATCTACAGGTACGAATCACCCTTGGAGCTGCTCAAGGCACACCAATCGCTCTACCTGGATGGGAACATTCTATACCGGGATAGCTCGGAGAATAGCATCATCACCACGGACCCAGCAAAGGCGGATGGCAGTACCGGAATACTCGTTGACCTGGACCTTGCCAAGGAGGTCGGCAGCGGGCGAAGCGGCGCGCGGCACCAGACCGGCACGAGGGAGTTCATGGCCATCGATGTGCTGCTTACCATTGATCATACTTATCGACACGACTTTGAATCCTTCTTCTACGTGTTGATCTGGCAGTGCCCCCGTTATGGGTGGGGAAAATCAGGACTCAACCGGCCCAAATACCGTATGCTAAAGGAGTCGTACACTGGAAATTATGAAAAAATCGCAAACGGCAAACGAGGCAACATGGAGACTGGCGGGTATGAGCGTATTGTGATGAAAGAGTTCCCACCTGGTTTTGAATGTGTCAAATCATCCTGCAAAACCGCACGACGCATACTATTTCCGTATGGGGGGGAAGGACTTATCGTGGGTACGCCGCAAGACCCGGAAAAAGCTATACGATCCTATCATCAAGGCATATATGATGATGCAATATCTCTGGTTGAATCGGGAAATTGCTCATCGACAACGCGGGGTGCTATTTTTGTTTTTTCCACTACGGTAAGACGGGGATGATATGAGATTCTTTGAGGAGATTGATCGCCAGATGAAGAAAACTTTCTGAACGACTGCCAAAGTTCAATCTACCTAAAGAGCTGTTTTTTTATTGGCAGCAGCATAGGCTATCAATCTAAAATAGCCCTTTTTGAAGCTCCATGAAGAAAGGAGAAAGCTTCCAAACTGAAACATCAAACGCCAGAGTAATTCAGCCTTGATCAGTACCAAGGTTAGCCAGGCCTTAAAAGTGAGGTTTTGTTAACCTTACTTTGATTGGCTTCTTCCATTTTTATTATACTAGTGAACTATAATTCATTTACTCACTAATCAAGCTGTGTGCAGCCCATGAGCAGGTGCAACACCATAGAATAACATCAATAAAGAGGAATACAAAACAGTTGAATAGTGTTATTCAATCATAAACAGTGGTGAGGATGAAAGATGATGAAGGCATATGAAGTACTACAGCTGCCGATGAGCAGCTCAGCTGTATGAATATCAATTCATTTAGATATATATATTATGAATGAACTATATATGTAATGGGCTGTAGCATGCTCGTACCACTAACTATTGAAAACAATGTTCTGTGAAATGAGCTTGCTGCTTATTGGGGATACTCAAATTGTTCACATTTGACATTGTCTGGCTTGCTCCGATGAATGTAAATAATATAATGAAATACCAGGACATCATCTACGACAGTTATAAGTATATTTTCAGAATGGGATGGACGTTAACAACTCCAGTGGGGGGGTTCAAATTGTAAAAGTTGGTAAGAGCCCCTCTCACAGGGGCTTGGTTTGAGAAATCAAGCGATCGACCCGAAGCTGAGGATAAGTAAATAAAATAAATTAACTAACTAGCTCGCCTGGCTCAATCGACCCCTGCGGCGGGGCGGGGGGGAAAGTGTGGAAATGAGCACAAATCCAGGATTGCAAGGTTCCAAGGTTGGGTTTCGCGTGGCCGCCAAACCGAACCGGGTTGACTGGTGCTGTTTTTTGTTAAGGCCCTCCTCAGCCAGCCAGACAACGAAACCTGCCACAGACCAAGATTCAGCATCGTACAGCACACAACTGCCCACTTCTGCGTCCCACCCCCCACGAACAGGTCTACGGGTGCAGGCAGCATACAAACTCCAGCTCCTGTCATAGTTTATCCCTTTATCCCTTTGTCCTTGCATACCCATTCTCCTTTTCATCATCCTTGCTCTCAATTGAACTTGGTGAAGACTCCGCAATCCAAAAACGCCTTCCACCTCCACAAAACCAAAAATTTCACTACAAGCCAAACAACTCTCCCACTTCAACCGACCTATCACGAAATCTGACAAATGGACTGGCGGAAATAACTAGCTATTGATATAAATGTCCGCCATGCAGCCTTCTGGCTCTGGAAAGCGGAAAATTCCTAAACTGGATGTCGCCCAGGTACGTCTGTTTCAGATATCATCTTCAGGTGTGTATGTTTTAACAGAAGTTTCCGGGCAGATATGTCTCAATCTCCAGGATCGTCTAGGCCTAGCAAAGGTCCGCTACGAACGAACGCATCGTCATCGTGTTGAGCCACTGCATCCAATCGAGCAGAATGGGAGGAGAGGTTCCGATGAAGGCAATGTTGTATCAGATACCTCTTCTGAAATATGTGACAGCCGCTACGAAACCCCGTTTACCTCGTCTCCTCTTCCCACGCCAATGTTTTCAAGAGAGCTCCCTAGGTCATCACGAAGCAAGCACGCTGCAACGTTCTTTCCCAGCTTCATTGACAATATCGATGGGTCACGTAAGCGTGGCCTTTCCAGCCCTACCACTGAGCAACCTTCAAAGGCTCCACGACTCTCCAGAATCTCGTGGAAAGCCGAGAATGGGCTCCCACAATCGTCACCTGTCTTCAGTCGCCCTCATCATACATATCACGGCAATAGCTGTTCGTTTATTTCGGAGTCGGACACGATCCCTGACGAGGAACACTCGCCTGCGTATCAACGCCATGTTGACGAAATCAAGGAACCCGAACTTCCAATAGTCAAGGTACAAAATATCGGCTCGTCGGGGATCAGCTCCTCACCACCTCGCACTCCACCTCCGAACCGAAATCGTGCTTCCCGGCGTAACGAAGAGGCTGGAGACGGTGAAGACGGTGCAGATCTTTTGTTATTTCTTGCTAATTCTCCTACACCAGCTATTTTCCGGGACAAAGGCAGCCCACGGGATTTCCCCCCTTCAACCCCTCCTAGCCAACGTGCCGTTCTCCCTTCATTGACTGCGACACCTGGCAGAGGCGTTGCCACAAATTTTGGAACCCCAACCCAGCAGTTCAATTTCGCCGACTTTGTAAATGTTACCCCAAGTCCAGCACAGTTGCCATGGGGAGGACGAACGCCGGGCACTGTGCCGAGAACCCCACGGCCTCCAAAGGAATTGAAAAAGAGACTTAATTTCGATTCACTCGCTCCTCCCTTGGCTGGAAGTCCCTCGACAGCGCGTGAGAAAAGGGGAGCATTGCATTTACAGTTAGGAGAGGAGCTTCGACCTTGATTGTACTGTGCATCTGTTAAGAGTATTGCTGTTGCAAGGACATGTATAAACCATCACATTTGATTCCGCGAAACGATATTGAACTTTTGTATGTTCAACGATACGACGACGCATCGATCTACTCTTCCATCTAACCATCGTTGGCCATCGATTCCCTAACAGCAATCGCCAGGCCAGTCATGACCCTTCAGTTGAAATAATTTCTCTCCCCATCTACCTTTTCTTTTTAGTTTCTCGAGTGTACACGAAATACATTTTTCCTATATTATGTTTCCCTCATTTGACATTGCGTCCCACATATTCCCACCGATAGTTTGTACACCAACACCCCGCATCTACTCTCATATGTCGTTCCTCAACATCATTCTAATAACTTCCCCTTTCCAACAAATTATGGATAGCGACAACCAATCCGGCTTTTCTGTGCCCATTTCCCTCTTTCCCTATTGATCGCTAGAAGAATATGTACTATTACGAGATAGTGTCATGGCCCCTTATCCAACTTTCCTATTTCTCTTTTTTTTCTCCCTTCATGTTCCTTACCCTCAAAAGGGATGTTCCTTGCTTTGTTAGATTAGTATATGTGTATGCCAGCAAGCGATTTCCTACTTGCTGACATGTTTATTGAGCTTTCTCCTCCGATCCCCGCGTCACAGCTTCCAATTCTCATGCAACCCAGTCCTACTCGACTTGCCATGTTACTCTTGGGTCAAATTAAAGAAAAAGAAAAGAAAAAGAAAAATCACAAATGAGCTCAAATGGTTGGTAGATAATAAAATACAGTCATCAATCAGAATTCTCCCACAGGATTGTTCTATCAAGTGTTGTTAAAATTTTCGTGTTCTTTGTTGTTCGTTGTTGTCCTGATACAAAGCGCGACGCGTGAGGCGCGTCAGAGAGTATTTGGTGACTATTTCGCGACAGCTTTCTGGCCCACGCCCACTCAGCACACTAACTTAACTAAATTGATTAGTAATTCTTGGCATGTTGATTGGCTGCAGGGCTGTGGCGCGGGGGGGATTTGTTTGGCTCGCGTTTTGGGGCTATTTTGGGATTTAAAGTTGTTTGTTGACCTCAATGTTTCTCAACATCAAAGAAGAAGAAAAAGAAAAAGAAAATATGAAAATGGGGAGTCGCTGGTAGATTGCGGTTAATTTTTTCCATACTTTTTGGGAACTTTTCATCTTTTATCGCTGGAGTTGCTTCTGGGACGAGGTGAATGGTTACTTGATTTTCTTCCACTGCTCATCACCAGTATCCGTTTTCAGCCCCGGCTGTCTCTCGGCCAAGATGGGTGGGTGATACCCCACGTTCTCAAAAATTGTTCGGCTGTTGGTCTCGAGCTCACCGCAAAATATACGAACAGCGGGGTAGAGAGGGGTTTCGTGGCATCTGGGCACCCGCGTAGTCATATCTTCCTTCGTAATTGATAGCTAGTGCCATTGGCAGGGGTGCGGGTAGAAACGGGGCCAATATCAAGTCATCGCAGGGCGTCGGTAGCTTCATGATTCAAAATGGTGTGAATCACACGAAGGTGGGAAATAAAAATATATTCCAATGTTTGTAACGATCGTGATGATGATTCCGAAGGGCCATCTGCGTGAGCACTACAAAGCTGGACGAAACTCGAAAATTGATACCAAGCTCAAATATTGTTGAACATGGTTTCGCAGGAGGAAGCGTCTGAATATCATCTCCTTGGAACCTTCACACGGTTTTCCAGTATGGCATTTTTCCATCTTCTCATTCTGATGCACTCAGAAAACTGTCTGGGTTAACCACTAATTTGAACAATCAACTCATACCTACAGGCTGGACAGCACGTGTGGAAACTCTTTTGGAATATTACCAGATCCCATACCAGAAAACCTTTGTTAAGCTGTCCGAAGTGAGAAACCTTTTTATCACTCGTTCCTATGTCTCTCCTAACAAATAAATCAAACACCGAAGGTCAAGGAGCATTCTCAGTCTGGCTTTGTGCCCGCCCTCACCGCCCGTTCCTTGTCCGTGGATACACAGATCACCGATAGCCTCTCCATCTGTGAATACCTAGCTGAGTCTCACCCGGAACTACCGCTATGGCCTAAGGATCACTACCTCCGTGCGCTGGCACGAAGCGCGGTTGCACAAATGCATTCCGGCTTCACCGCACTTCGAGCCACCTACCACTCCAACTTCATAGGAAGATATACGGGGAATATTCCGGTGTCTGATGAGGTGAGGAAGGAGATAGAGCGAATCCTGGCGATATGGGCCGATGCAAGGCGGAAGACCACAGCACGCTTGAAGGCTTTGGGAGAGGCGGATGATGGGTTTTTATTTGGCAAATTCGGGATCGTGGATTCGTTTTACTGGCCTGTTTTATGGGTATGCTTATCCCTCCCCCCTTCTCTTTTTTTTTTTTTTTTTTTTTTTTTTGTGGTGCTTTCTTCTTCTCGATTTCCTAGAATCTTCGTTGGAGGGGGAATCCAATAATCCAACGAATGTGTACAAGCAAGATGCCGTGTGAACTTGCGGCAATCCATTGCACGTCTATGCTTGAATCCTCAGCAGACGCGCGGAGTCGTTTGATCGGGATTTACTGATTATAATTTGTTTTTATTGATAACCGGTCCTTTTAGCGATTCCGCACTTACAACTTTCCTCTCACAACTGCAGCCCCTGAAGCCGTGAGTTGGATGAAGAAAATGTGGAATGATCCTGCTATCAAGCTTGTGATTTCAGTCTACTTTCGGCAGGCTGAAGATCCCGAAACGTCCATGCCTAAGTATGAAGACGTATTCAAAGGGCTTGCAGATGTCAAGTATGGGGTTTTTACGGAAGATTGGGAATTTGTGGAGCCCAAATAAAGAAGCCAAACTCAAAAAGGTTGAACTCACCGATTCTCAGTTATACAAGATATCAGCCATACGGGTTGCATACTTTTGTTTGTTAAGCGATGTAATGCAAAAGCAGCTTCTCAATACAAGAAAAACCAGGCATTTCAATGTTCCGAAACCTTTTCCGTCATACTGTCATGCAACATGGCCTTTCAGTATCAGACGTTTTCTCCTCTGCGCCGCTAATCAGGCAAATGTTGTAACCGGATAACTTCCCACTTTCTGGAGCAGTGCGGCTGACTGAGCTGCAGTCCCCACTCCAATGTGAGTGATAATCAAGCCAAACGATTTGCGCCTTTTGGCCCCTGAGGATTCTTAACATCCCCAATTTGCAGATCGGGGCCTCGAGAGCGAACGAAACTAATTATCCAGGAAGGGGGAGGTGCTCTTTGTGAGACCGCTATCCCTATCAACTCAATGTTGATCTCGCCCCTGCAAACGCATGGCTGCTCCCCTTATCACGGCTCATGCCTTGCATGCCAGCTGCGGTCTGTTCTATTTGATCTTTTCCGTTCTGCGGCATATTAAAACCCTGAAATCATATATAATACCCTCCACCCCACACCTCCAGCTTTTCTTATGTTTACTATGTCTATCCGGTGAAAGGTCAGTTCTTCAGGTTTTCGATCCAGTTCCAAAATTATGGAAGAGGAGAAAGAGCCAAATTCAGCGGGTAGTTCTCCAAAATCTGCCGCAGAACTTAAGAATGCTGGTGAACAGCCGGATCCGAAACTTGAGCGGCGATTACTCTGGAAATTTGACATTCATATAATCCCTATCCTATTTCTTGTATATTTTTGCGCCTTCTTGGACAGGATCAATGTCGGCAACGCCTTGATTGAAGGCATGCTGGAGGAATTGAACATGAATAACACCAGTGATCCCCGCATCGCGCTGCTTATTTTCTTCGTTCCATATATCCTTTTGGAAGTTCCGAGCAATGTTCTTCTTAAACGAGTTGCGCCCTCCACCTGGATTACCATCCTCACTTTCTTCTTTGGTAGGCCAGTTCCAACATTTTAAAATTCCTGTATTTGTCATGTTAATGTTGTTTGAAGGTCTTGTCACTGTATGTCAGGGATTCGTGAAGGGGCCCAAGGGTTTGATCATTTGCCGGTTTTTCTTGGGTGTTTTTGAAGCCGGCCTTCTTCCAGGTAACTAAACATCATCGAAAGGAATGAATTCGGCTCCGCCTCACATTATAGTATTTTAGGATTCATCTATCTCATGAGCATGTACTACAAGAGACACGAATTCCAAAAGAGATTCGCTGTTCTTTTTACGTCCGGCATGGTTGCAGGTGCCGTCGGAGGAGTATGCTCTTGATTTCTTTTGTCCGGAAACGTATCTCTTTTTGTCAAAACCTGACATTGCTTCATCCTAAGCTCCTGGCATTTGAATTGGCCAAACTTGACGGTGTTGGAGGTTACTCTGGATGGCGATGGTAAGAATCACTCACCCAGCAGTCTAAAAATGACGAAGTGAAAAATGCTGATACCATGGTAGGATATTCATCGTTGAAGGCCTTATGTCAATCTCACTTAGCCTTGTCACGAAATTCCTTATCGTGGACTGGCCTTCTGAAGCTACATTTCTCACGGAAGAGGAGCGACTCACAGTTGCAGTACGCTTAAAGGAGGATGTAGGCTCTGCAAAAATGGACAGGCTCGATCGACAATCATTGCAGATCATCATAAAGGACTGGAAAATATATACAGGGTATGGGTGTTTCCTTTTCAGCACAAATAGTCCGTATGCTAATATTTCGGCTCTGGTTAGTGCCTTAATATACCTCACCATCAATACCTGTGGATATTCCACCGCTCTCTTCAACCCTACTATTTTGAAACAATTTGGGTATAACGCATCTCAATCACAAGTCCATAGCATCCCGATTTGGGGGACATCCGCAGCAGTTATCATTCTTGTAGGCTACCTCAGCGACAGAATCCGCCATCGCTGGGGCTTCGTTATTTTTGGGTGTTTCTTCTCTAGCATTGGATATATTCTGCTACTCAACCAACACCACTCATCTTTAAGAGTCAAATACATGGCACTCTTCATAGTCAATATCGGCGTATACATCGCACACCCCGTCACCATCGTATGGCTCTCTAACAACTTAGCCGGGCACTACAAACGGGCATTCGGAAGCGCTTTCCAGATTTCTTTTGGTAACATCGGCGGCATCGTGGCCAGTAATCTATTCCTCCCGAACGGTGCTCCGCTCTTCAAAGCAGGCTATGGGAGTGCTCTGGCTTTAACAGTTGTATGTGCCCTCTTATCCACGGTATTTATGCTTGCACTGGATAGAGAAAATAAGATGCGGGATGCTGGACGCCGCGATTATCGGTTCAATTTATGTCAAGCCGAGTTGGAAAACCTTGGAGATGATCACCCAGATTTCCGATTCACAAAATGAATGGATTAGTGGTTCGTAATAATTGATTACCTTCGCATACATGACTTGCCTTGATGATTCTTTGTTGTCAATTTGTCGACCATTTCCCCGGCTGTGATAAGTCCGATAAATAATCTTTTCTCAGTATTTCCCGATTTTCACCCATTGTTAGAAAATCCATTGTGTCTCCAGCAACTTCGCAGCATCAACGGCCACACTGATTGATTCAACAAGATTGATCAAAGAGGAATTCTTTAGAGTTCCCCTTCGTAGTTCATATATAAACCTCAAGTAACGAAATACCTAACTCCAGTGTTACAGCGGTCGCCGCTGCGTTTCAGCTCACTGTGTTTCTTGACGCAAGGTTCTCAATCAACTATGGAAGAACCATTTGACAGATATGCATCCCCAAGCCACCAACTGCAAGATTCCCAGGTCCTACTAGTCGATCTTTTGTCATGTCCGCCTCTGGCTCTACGAGGTGATACTTTATTCCGTATGCCTCTGTCGTTGGACTACCGTACAGGACTCCCCCAAAAAGAGACTTTCTCCATCGCGTGCTTGTCCAGCCAGCAATGCATTGAGCTGCCGTTCTTAAAGGGTCGCTAGCCTCGTTTCCTAGTCATTCGGACCCTTGGGGATCTTCTGTTTCGCGGACTTAGCCCACTTTCCAAATCCTTTGTTTGGATGCTTGCTTCCTGTAAGGAGTGAGATAATGGAACAAATCTAGATCCCCATTCTGCCTCTGCCTCTGCCTCTGCTCTCTGCCTTGCTTGTATTCCTACCGTGGGTTATCCTTCTTATTTCATTTTGAGTTTCCTTTTCTCTCCGCAAACGACCTCTTTGTTGTTCCACTGAAGGCATAGCCATTCCCAGCAACGTGCACGGTAATTTGTCACCTAGAACCACAGGATCATGCTTCCCGACGCAGATGAAAGGAAAGCACGTATTCTCAGACCACATCTATCACACATCCAATGTCTTCTTCGTGCACTCACCTGTGCTGATACTTCGGCAAGATTGCCGTATTCATTCCTGACAGCTCGACCCTTGGAACAGTAACACATTTTCAAGTGCTGCGCTCCGACCTGGTTCATGATGCAAATATATGTTCAACTTGCACTAGAAAAGCCTTCTTTTTAGGATATATCAGATCTTCTCACTCCACCAGGGATGCTTTTTGCCTCTATATTTGCTGCGTTTCCTGCGCGCAGACGCTACTTCGACCTGTTTTTGCAAAAGGTTTGCATATGCATGCAAGTGGCAGATACCTCAATATGGCTTCTCCTAGGGAGTACCGATACCTGACATATCTTCTCGATTGATGACCCCTTCGATTGTGTTCTGCTTTGTAACTCCCTTATTTGTGGCATTGAGAGTTTCCAGCAAACTGCGTTTTACAAAGAGACTGGGAAGGGATGACTGGACCATCGTCATATCCTGCGTAAGTTACTCCAATGTGAAAGGGTTCAATTGAGTGGAATGCAGGATGTGACAAGCGTCCGCTTTTTGCATGTTCAGAGTTCGACCTATAATAACGCGGGAAGCTGGGATGTAACTAATACAGGTGGTTTCGGCCAAACTCTCTATAACCATGATCGTTGGTATGGGCCCTTGAAGCTTCATCCTCTTTTCCGGCTACCTACCTATGTTAATTCAACCCTAGCTTGCAAATGGGCATTTGGAAAACATACGAGACAGCAAGGCCCACTTCTTGTCCGGAAGACACTGCAAGTACATTTCAAATTTCTAGATTGCTTAATGGCTCGTATCGTTTTCTATGACACAGCGACTTTTTAACAAAATGCAAATTCTACATAAAGCTGAAACGGTATTAATATAGACCTAGCTTTTTGTAGGGGCTCAAGTGATATATAAAACGACAATTGCGCTGTCCAAAATATCAATCATTTTCCCTACTTACGTATATTCGTTGGCAATATCTTTCGACGGGCATGTTGGCTCTTTATCTTGATCGTTGTCTGCTACACGATCGGTTCGTCCACAGCTACCGTGTTCCAATGTACACCGACTCATCGTGCGTGGGATAGAAATGTAGCTGGAACATACATCAACCTCACCGTCAGTTGGTATGAAAACGCGGCCTTCGGCATATTAAGTGATCTGGCTATCTTATTTTGTATGGTGCCGAACTCGTTGACTTGGTGCATGTTGATTAGGAATTAGGATACGGAGACTTACCAACAGACCGAACAATGCTTTGTGTGAATTGTAGGGTCCTCGATTAACTCATCAATGTGGACTATCATTGAAACGAACATAGCAATCATATGCTCCTGTATGCCGACATATAAAGCGCCGCTTTCCAAAATCTTCCCCCACGCATTCGACTCCTTCTGCAGCTGGGGAAGCGATCAGGAGCAGAGAGGCGATTCAATGATTGATGGGGTTATACATCGTCAGGTTCCGGTAAAAAAAGAACCTTTGTACAGCCTTAGCATGCCCATATTTAACGGATGGGAGCTAATGGTGGAGAAGTTGGAGATTTGGGCAAAACGGATGGGAAATGGAAGCAGTAGTAGCTTTGGAGGTACCTGTCCCAGTGGCCTTGTCGCTTCAAAGCCTAGTACAGTAGCCGGAGAAAAAGGCTATCAGGCAACAAAAAATGCAGTGGGGTTGTAGCCGTAGCTGACTTGGAATCCGGTAAGGGTTCGACTGTGACTATTCAGGAGAGCACGAAGTAGAGGGTTCATTTAATATTGCGTGAACATTTTCCGAAACGATTGGAGCAGTGCACTAGCATAATGAAAGTGACCATCCTCCCATATCTGTAAAATGGTGTGACAAACCGAACTTTGACACCGGATTTGCCTGGAGGTTCACAAAGCAGAAAAGTTCATTGCCACAAATAGGCGGAGCTACTTTTTGAGCCAAACGAGAATAGATCCCAATGAATTTACGTACAGTGCAAAATTAGATGCAGTCAGGCCGTACCATTAGTCGATGCAACAATCAACGGGGGGGTTTTTTTTTTCGGGTATAAATTCCGCCAAAAAATTAAAAATCGGCAACTGCCCCTTCGAACAGCTTGATCGCATTCCTCACAGTACCTGTAGCACTCGTGGCATTCGCCCCAGTAACGATCCTTGAATCGATATGGCTGAAGTCATCGAAGTTATGTGCCGGCGGCAGGTAATGAGCGTCAAGGTCTTGAGCTATCTCCTCTACGGTTTTGAGATTGTCTTCTCTGATCTTGTCTATGACCTTCAGCTCAACCTCACCCTTCGTCGGAAAGCCCGTAATTTCCTTCCCCTTAAGGAGGGGTTCGCCATCAGGAGAACGTATCCCTGCGAGAATAACAGGAGCTTGATCCACGGCACCAATGACACCGCCACGATCGTAAATATCTTCCGCAATGGCCTGTAAATGGCGAGCGTGTGGGAAGTCATACATAGCGCCGTGACCCCCAGCTGCGAAGAAAAGCCCATATTCGTGTGCGGACAAATCACCAGCTTTGAATATCTGGTTTTTCATCTTGTGGTGGAAGGGATAATCAAAACTCTGGAGAATCCGCTGATCTTCATGGGATAGGTTGTGCGAATCTAGGGAGTGATCATCATAGGCGAACGTGCCAGTCTCTGAGGCGATATCGACATCGAAGCCGGCTTCCACTAGCTCGTTGAACGGGTGTAGGGCCTCAGGGAAGGAAAGTCCCGTTTTCTTCCCATCCAGGTAGAATGGAGGATGGGCACTGCTTACAGCAATCAAAGCTTTTCGGGGGAGGTCATGCATCTTGCTTAGGAATTTGTCAATACCGCTGTATCGATCAAAGTGGAGAGCGTCAATTAGCAGAAGCTAGGTAAAGAGAACACAGCGAAGCCCATCCTTCTTATTGAGGAGTGTTCGGGAAAGGAGGCAAATAGAAGCCCGATGTGTCGTCACCGGAAAGCTTGTGGCCAAACTGAAATTTAACAGAGTATACATGGGATCGAACTCAATTTTTCGCTGTCCAATAGACCGTGCTGACGCTAATTATATTGGTGCATTTCATTTTGTATGACGTCCGCGTTTTGGGCCACAGCAGGAAGTACAGGGATGCCGTTCGATCCCATGACGAACAACTCGAATATAAGGAAAAGCATATATGTTCAAGCTGCGTAAATCCGTTGTTACTGCAGGGAGGGCTAGTTATCCAAAATGAACCACTACACATAGCTCTGGAAAAGGGCAAACATATCAAGGTATGCATTGAATCTTTCCAAAATACTTTGTGCAGTGGTGCAAATTGAAAGAGTCAAGTTGAAGCTTACTGTCACTCTAAATATACTTTAGCTGAAGAATGTCATCTCCTTTCATCCTCCAAGCCGAAGTTGTCATGTTCCGCTTCTAGTTTTGTCAGTGATCCTTCCTCCTGCAATCGTTTCGTTTGTTTCCTCCATAAACTTGCAAGATACTCCGAGCTACTTGCTTCATCGATTCCCTTATCCTCGCGGACTTTAATGAATCTCGGAAATCGAAGGCTCAGTCCGCGGTCTTCACTGACCAAACCAATCGCAGCTGTATAAGTAGGGCTGAGCGTAATATCGGCGAATGCCACCTCCCAGACTTCCTGTGGTTCAAACCATACTTCTGGCTCGTTTCTATATTCCACGTAGTTCGGCCTCGAGATTATATTCTCGCTTCCCTCCGCATATTTTTCTTTGTTAGCTTGATAGAACTTGTCAGTGAAACCAGACATGCACTTCGTAACAGCCTCAAGCAAGCCAGTTTCGGGGTTGCGAGCGGCAAGAAGGATAGGAGACCACCATTTAGCTTTCCGGCCTTGCCCATGCCAAGCAGCAATGGGGATCAAGTCCAAAGTATCAGATGCAGCACTGTAGTCTTTTTTCACTTTGAGCCACGATTCGAGTCGCTTGTCAGGCTCATAAGTAGATAGTAGAGAACGCCGATCTTTGTGTTTGGCGTTAACATTCAATTCCATGGAGGCAGGCGCTGATGGTAGCTCGCTAGTCGAAATCGGTTTCGTAGCTGACTCTTCTTCGTGCATATATGGCGTAACACTGTCATCTAGCAGCTTAACCATGAGTCCTTCACATTTGGCATCAAGGGCATCTTTGTAAAAGGCCAATACAGCTTCCGAATCAAGCGAAGTCGCGTCAATACTTTTTACAAATGTGAAATGGTGTGGAATATCAATGAACAGACCTCGAAGAAGTTCTCGCCTTTCCCGGAGTGGTCTCTCCAGTAACGGTTCACCATTCAAAAACATGAGGTCAAAGGCGAACAAACATACGCTAATTTTAATACTATCGATGCCCACATTTTTTTTCGCACGGTTTGTAAGAGTCTGGAACGCCAATAACTCCCCAGTTCCCTGGTTTACCGCGACAATTTCTCCTTCTAAAATGAAACTCGATACTCCTTCACCCCGAATTCTGGGAATGAGCGCTACCAAATCAGGGTATTTCTCCGTCATACGTTCGAGATGACGGGAAAAGATAGACACCGTACCTGAAGAATCGCAATGAACCTGCGCCCGTTGGCCATCGTACTTATACTCACAAGTAAATTTTCTCCCTTGGAGTTTAGTAAGCATTTGGGTTAGATCTCTCGTTATGCTTCCCAACATCGGGCGTAATGGAATATGGAGAGTGAGTCCACATCTCACGAGGAGTTCATCTGATATTCCGACCTCTAGAAGGCATGGTATTAAATCGTTATAGTTGGGGTGTCGAGCATAGCAAGCTCTCACAATTTCCTCCGCCCTATTGTAGATACTTGCGATTTTCTCCTTTTTGAGTTTTGAGAGATCCGTTCTCGAATAAACAGAGAAACTGCTCGCGGCAGGTCTCGAGAGTAAGAATGCCCTAGCTAAAGCAATAAGCATTGTCGTCTTGACTGCTCCAATGCGAAGATGTTGCACAAGCGTTCGCACGAGGTACCTGCTTTCCTCTGCGCCTCTTGTATCCTGGAGAAGTTTCTCAACTATTCGCTGCTTGGCCTCCTGGCTTCCTGGGCCCTTGCTTTGGGAGATTTTCAAGAGCGATTCATAGACCCCTCTTATCGATAACGGCCTTGGTCTCCGTAATGTAAAGGTTTGCCTTTTCTTAGCTTCGAAGGCGACATCCCCAGCATCACCATGTTTGTCATATAAAATTTTCAATCCTTGACTGTTTAATCCATATGCAGTTTTCAAAGCCTTGGATATAATAGACCCGCCCAATCCCAACTCCAAAGGAACATAGGGAGGTGCAACCGCATTTGTTGTAAGCCATACGGCAGGGACAAGGCTGTCCGGATCAGCTTCTGTTACCACTCTCAGGAAGTTTACCAAGGTGTCAACGATCTTAATTCGGCTTTGGGTGTTGTTGATAAGGACGAATGCTCTAGTCAGAATGGCATACGATGCGTGACCCCTGTCAAAAGCCCAGTGAGTCCGTAATTGCTCAATATAGTCCGATGGGTCAAAGGTAAGTGGACTTTGATCAAACGGTATCGACTGGGAGATGGTATCCTCATTTAACGACGAGGTTTGTAATGATAACACGGTTTTGGTAGTGTCTCTAGGAAAATCAGTGGAGGACAGAGCGGACGATTGTGGTTCAATCCCAAATCCCTCATCTCGATCTTCAGCGTTGGCCTCTCGCGAAAGTAAACCCAGAGAGTCTTTAGGTGGGCTAGGACTCTGGTGGTCTGCTCTCACTTCTTCATTCCATTCCGCCTGTAATTTGCGTGCAAGCTCTTCATCGGTCAACAAGGCAGGGGTGGCGGGTGTTCGAGTAGCATTTTGGGGTTCAAAGAATGATCTGATCCCACGAATTCGCTGAGGCACAGGTTTAGTATCATTTGTCTTGCGCTTCTTAGCAGGGCTAGGCATGTCTGGCCTCCATGGAGAAAATTGGGTGTGGATGAGATGTACTCCGTATAAGATGTTATTTTGGATGAATGCCAAAGCGGAGGTTCTACGGTTGGCCCGAGCGTTAAGTTATTTAGGCTAGCTACCTTGGGCCACTTGGAGCTTTGTCATTTTCTATTATCCACGTTGAACTTCAACATCATTCATCTTCGATTTTCCTAACCTCTCATTATCCATTCAAAAGGCAACCATGACCAAAGAACAGAAATTATATGATTCTCAAGGGAAGGCCCGAGTTGAGGATTATTTAAATGATATGATTCAGACCGGACAAGATTTGCGCAATTTGGATGCCATTCTCCAGAATTTACAACGCCAACAGGAACTTCAAAAAAAACAGGTATAGAGGTCTTAAACTTATGGCGGTTATTTTCAATCCACATTAACACTCAGCAGCTTCACGAAGCGAAAACCATTCTTGCCGATGCCACCAAGGCGTCAATGGATCATAGCGAAAGCGTTCGCAAACAAGTGGAGGCCTTCAAGCAGCAGCAGCAAGATTTAGATAATCGACTTATGATAGTGACCCAGTCAGACACCAGTGAGCAGGCGGTTAAGAATTTCGAAACCAGCATGGAGCGTCTTCACAGATTGGAAATTGCAAAGGGCTACATGGGGACTCTATGTGAAGTGGACTATCTCAGGTTTGTTGATAGTACCTCCGTGATCTAAATTTGACAACTTGACTTAGATGGTTCAGTAAGGAAACTGTTAAATTACTTGCGACATCTCCTCGTTTGGCAGTTCCTCCTTATACGCGATTACGAACCCTCTCATCTGGCCTGAAATTAGCCCAACCTGCAGCGGAAGGGGCGGCACCTCATCTGGTCGCTTATGCTTCGAAAATAGCGAATATCCTACGAGACCAAATGGCCAAAGTATTTGAAGATAACTTAGAAAAGGTCCTTGCGAAGATGAAATGGCCAGGGAACGAATTCAATCTTTCAGATGACCTAATCAATGAGTGGACGGATGCGGTCGAGTTATTGCTGGAGCTGCAAGAACCGTGAGGAATTCCATAGTGTTGTGTTATGGAAGCTATTTATTCTAACTTCTGTTTTAGTGAGCTGGAGAATAGCACATGTTTTTCTAGCTCGGAGTCTGCTCCAAGTTGGGAACCTCCTGTACTTCTCCCCCTCGAAGTTATGTCTCGTCCGCTTGAGCTTCGATTTAAATACCACTTCAGCGGGGATAGGTCGACAAATAGGTTAGACAAAGTAAGCGTGCTTGCATCTTACGCAATGTTTATCTTTCGTGTCGAATGCTCTAACTCTAGCAGCCTGAATACTTTTTGTCCCACGTTATCGACCTCATCGGCACACATAGCGAGTTTTTTGCCGTACATCTTCAGCCGATACTCGACAAACGAGCTGAATTTGTCGACAAAAATCTCCGTTTGGCATATGCTGATGCGGTGTCATCCTTCATTAACTCTCTTTTTCCCATCCTGCGCCAAAAAATGAGCTCTGTTCTTCCCAGAATTTCCGATCATCCTCAGCTGTTAAGCCACTTTATCCATGAGTTAATGAGTTTTGATACCGAAATTCGACATGTGTGGGATTACTCCCAGAACAGATATTCTTCAGATAGCTGGAAAGGATTAACTTGGGAGGCTCTCGTTAAACAAGGCTGGTTCAACCACTGGCTGAAGGCGGAGAAAGATTTTGCGTTGTCACGTTATCAGGATATCATCGAAGGTGCAGACAGTGGGGAAATAGATTATTATGGCGTGGAGCCATCTGCCACAAAGCCGACTAAGGCTGCGATTAGGGTCAATGATCTTCTCGAAACAATCACAGAGCGGTACCGTCCTTTATCATCCTTTAGTCAGAAGTTGCGGTTTCTTATCGACATTCAAATCACTATTTTTGATCAATTTCATGAAAGGCTACGATCGGGACTAGAAGCTTATCTTGCGATGAGCTCTACAATTGGCCGCACTGTCCAAGGCTCTGCAGGTGCGGATGCTAGCCTAGAAGGTGTGTCCGGTCTAGAGCGGCTTTGTAGGGTATACGGCAGCGCGGAATATTTAGAACGGAAAATGCAGGATTGGAGCAACGATGTTTTTTTCTTGGAGCTCTGGTCAGAACTCCAAGAGCGCGTCAAGCAAAATAACCATACAGGAAGACCTGTGGCAGGGTGTATGAGTGTCTCTGATGTTGCAGCCCGTACTTCATCGGTAGTGGCCAACAATGAAGACGGAGAGAACCCAGCCGAAGGGGCTCTTTTTGACGAAACGGCGTCCGCTTATCGCAGGTTAAAAATGAGGACAGAGTCAATCATAGCATCAACTATGGTCTCAAGTGCCCAGTCAGCGCTTCGCGCTTACACTCTGATATCGACATGGTCTTCGCTTTCACCTCCGGCAAATACCAGCGGTCAACTATCACATTCATCTATCGAATTGGCCATAATTCTCAGAGAGCTCCCTGCCGAGATCTCGTTCCTCCATCGACTCCTAGCCATGGCTCCACTGCGGCGAATCACTCGCCAAGTACTCCTCTCCATACAAACATACATATGGGATAATGTGTTGATGCGGAATACGTTTTCGGCAAGTGGCGCATCCCAACTTGGTTGCGACGTCGATAGCATCTGCGAGGTCGTCGATGTGGCGACAGGAAACAGAATGGAATCCAAAAATGTAATGCAGAAACTTGTCGACGGATTATTCCTGCTCAATTTAAAAATCATACATACGCAGGAAGATCACAACTCTTCTCCTGGTGGCGAGGATGAGACAACGGGTTTGTCACTGTGGGAAGCAGAAAAGAGACTGTTTGCAAATAATGAAAGTGCGAGGTCATTGTTGACTGAATTGAACTTTGAATCTTTGACGGAGTCGGAGGCGAGAGCAGTATTGGAGCGAAGGGTGGAATTACGACGCTGAAAATTATTTCCTGCATATGGTGGCCCCATACATCATTCTATCTCGTGGGTGCCTCCATGCATCTACAAATTTGACATGCTGTTCCTTTCAGATATGAATCCTACTTCCTATCCATCCTTCTTGGTTCACACTTCCAAACAAGATACCCTGAATTCTGTTTGATAGCAAGGTCCTAGCACGGGGTTCCGTAGAGTGTTGATACAAGTACATTTCAATAGACTAGTATTCCAACCTGAATCCATATTGAAGCAAAAGGCAAAGAACATATCAAAGAAATAAGCTGCATATCTATTTTCCCCTCCATCGTAGCAACATGCAAGTGGTTGAGGACTTGGCCATCAAAAGCTCGGCTCCTCATCACGAGAAGAATATGGTGGCGTAATTATACAATTTCAGCCAATTAGCAAATGCCTGTTCTGTATCCATAGTCCAGCGATATATACAAATGGACTGCACATGAACATTCTTCCTTGCGTAAAAGTGAGGAAGATACCCAAGGATTTCAAGCTCAATGACGAACAACTGGCCCATGTCCACGCTCTCCAGGATTTCCCATGCGGAATGGTTTTGCTCCTTCAAAACGCTCACATGGCCCAACAACCTCCAACCCAACAGTCAAAACAGCATCTATCAAGGCATGGATAGTCTCTTTCTTTGTCTGCAAATTCACCACACACCTGAGAAACTTCCCATCTCCAGCGGATGGATCGTCCTCAACTGGTGGCGCGAAGTCGACCATGAACCCACAATGGACTAGCTTTTGGACCACCTCTTCAGTTATCTTGCTATTTCGCTTGCCTCGTTCCTCCTCGTCAATTCGCTTACCCTCAATTTCCTGATCGCGGCGGAAGATGAGTTGTTTGTTAGGAGCATAGCAAAAACAAACCTGGAGGCAAGGGGGTGGGTTCTCGCTGATGAGGAGCAGGTTTGGGCAATCAGAAACAGCCGCAACAAAATAAGCGGCCATGTCAGAAGCAGCATCTATTTGACGCTCATACCCCTCTGTGCCGTAGTAAGTCCAACTCAAAAAAAACTTGAGGGAATCGGCTCGACGGCCGCATTGCAACGTCATATCAGCAAGATCCCAAACTTCGGGTACAGACACATCTGCGTTGCCATTCAGGTCAGCAGCTAAATAATCGTTATGGAACAGATATGCCGCAGGTAGCGTATTTGCCCGGTGGAATTTGTTCATATCTGCACCCAGGAGGAATGAGCAGGTCACCGGAACGCCTAGCATTTTGTGCGGATTAACGGTGATGCTATCCGCCAAGTGGGAACCAGCAATTTTTGCTCTTTGCCTTCTCGAAAACGCATAAGAACCTCCCCAAGAAGCATCAACATGAAACCAAAGATTATGTTTCCGGCAAATGAAAGCAATTTGTTCCAAAGGGTCAAATGACCCGAGAACAGTTGTCCCAGCGGTCGCATTTACGTAAAACGGCGTCCTTCCCTCATTCTTAGCTTTGACAACAAGACTTTCCAGAGATTGAGGGATCATTCGTCCTTTCTGGTCGACTGGCACAGACCAAATAGCACTGCTTCCGAACCCAAGCGACTGTGCTGCCTTTTCAATAGAATAATGGCCATGTGCACTAGTGAAGAGAACAAACTTGTATCCATCACAGCCGTCCTTCTTAGTTTTGGGGAATAGAGTATTTCGAGCGACGACTATAGAGGTAGCGTTAGAAGCCGAACCTCCCTGAACCGATATCCCTCCGGCTTTAGGCCCATCCAAGCCAAAAAGCGATGCTACCTGTTTTGAAGTATACTTTTCAATAACAGTGAGTGCAGGTGACACTGGATACACATGAACATTTGTATTCAATGAGGCGATGATCAACTCCGCTGCGATACCCGGCGCATTTGTGGATGAATACAGTTTGTCCAGAAATCCCTGGTGCCATGTGTTGACCGAGTACTCTAACACCTGGTCTAGAATTCGAAGGAAGCCATTTTGTCCCTGACCTGATAAGGGGATCTCAAGATTCAAAGCGGCTTGTAATTCCTCCGGTCTCATGCTCTGTACCAGTGCCGAACTGCGGGCCGAGGCATGCTCAATCTTTGCGGAGCTGAAATCATATTGGTCTGCAGACTGGATAAAGGCTACAATGCGCTCTTGGACAGCACTTAATAACTACAGTGAAAATACTTAGCGATCAGCTAACTGTTCTCTTCTCTTCTGCGAATTCGAGCCGAAAATACTTCGGCTCAGAGAGCAGAATCGGGTTTGTCATGCTCCTATGAAGCTGCTTCACTTACATTTCGTACTTCCTCACTCCTCTCCAGACATTGATTCCCTGTGGCGGCCGTAGGGTCATTCGAAGACATCGTTATAGTCTATGGGAGGATTTTGTATTCATGACGCATCTATCAATTCTACTTATTGTGGGGTCAACGGGACAATAAATAGCCGGCGAGAAGAGCAGGGTTACTGCAGAGAACTTGGGAACTTTTTAATAATATTATAATACAGGGCTGTCGCACCTAAGGATCAATCCCGAATGTGGAGCGATATCTCATGGATGTTGTTATATTACTATGTACATCTGTACATCTGTATAGTAGACGTCAAACGAAGTATGTCCGTTCACTCGGCACTCCCTGATCGGACACAAATTTACTCCACCAATACGGAACCTCGAAAGGTGAAAATCCTTACACAAGCTAGAAAATTAAATGGTAAACATGTTTCATGACAGGCCCCCAAAAAGTCGAAAGGAGATCAGAGGCTTGATGCCTAAAACTTGGCTGTCAAGTTTGGCACAAAGGCCACATAATTTCTGATATGACTGACATTTTTGAGCCCTGGTATTGAGATTTCCATTTAAATTTCGAGTGTGTTGGACTTCCGAAGTTTTCGCAACGAAGCCGATTGGTTAAAAATGACGTCATGTTTAGCCATATCGCCAAGACCCATCTTCAGGCTGTGGAAGCAGACACCTTTCTCATGCTGCTGTTTGCTGATGCTTTTGATCCGTCTGCCTTTGCAGCAAATCGAGCTCTCGCCTGGTCGATATTTGATTTCGGGCATTGTTGATGATCGGGTTTACTCAGTTCCACCTTAGCGCTGTGTTCCCGCCCTTTAGCCATTGAAATCCAGTTGCCTCTTCTCCGCTTATACAAATCCATTGACCAATTCCTCCACACAGCTCGTCCGACAAAAGAGTCTCGAAGAGCTTGTTCGTTTGCCAACAGTTCCTCAGCAAACCGCTGCTTAACAAAAACTAAATCCTCCGTGGCCGACCACAGCGCATCAGCAACATGCGATCCGCTCGAATCCAAAGCGAGTTCAGCCATCTTTCCTGAAAATCTTGAGGTTATTTGACGGCGAAACCGAGCAGTAGAGGTTGGAAGAGTCAATGCGTCCTGAAGGACATGGGAAGCAATCGGGTCCTTAGCAATTGCCATTAAGCTCTCTGGTGTAATTGCAATAAGGCTCGCCTGTATCAGTTCGCTCAGAGGGCCGGGAGACTTAAGCATAGCTTGGGCAAGAAGAGAACCATGTAATTGCTCTGGAGAAGAGCCTTTGGAAGGTCGATTAGCGCTATCATTTTCTTCCTTAGTGTATTGCAATTTCAGGATGTTGTTGATCCTTGAAGCGGGATCTGTGCCATAGGATGACAAAAGTGTGTCCGCGAGTGGAGCTAGATCTACACCACGGACAACACTTCGTTCAATCAGGACTTTAATGACAGTCAGCCTTGAACGTTCCGCTAAAGATGGAACTTCTGGCAAAATCAAGTCCATGGCGCTCTTCAGATCTTCTTTACTCAATCTTTCCAAAATCCGAGCTACTACATGTCCTGCAATTTCGTTCCTAGATAGCGATCCAATGCGCTCCAGCACAATGGCTTTGTAGAAAGTCTTGAAAAATTTTCCTGGAGCGTGTAGCACGATTGTTTCCAATAACCGCGAACCAACGGGGTCATAAAAGAGGCCCTTTATGAACCCTGCACTCTCACTACCTTCCTCCAGATTCTCATCCGGCACAAGCCTCCGAAAAATCGAGTCGGGATCCTTTGCTTTTGACTTTCCAAGATGGGTTAGCTCGATTGAGAGCAACACTTGCAGCACAGGATTTCCAACAGGGTGCGTCGCCAGTGCCCGTAGATATGTATTATCGAGGCCAGCAATCAAATCCTTCACCATTTTCTCCAAGGCAGCATTGAATGAGGGTGGAACAGCTCGCCTTTCTCGCCCTGATCTATCTGGTTGAGTGACCACTTTCGCTTTATCTAAGTTCTCCTTTTTGCGGCTCGCGATGACGGTTGATTTAGACGGACTGTCTAGTTGCTCGCCGGCCAGTATCAACAGAAGCACTCTTATCGTATGCGATGCGAACCTATCTGTCAGCAAATAGCCCCAGTTTCCTTCTAGTTCGGAAATTGCTGTCAAGAACAGATCCTCCAGTCGTACGTTCGCGTTTGAATTCTCATCATCATTGTCATCTTTCTCTGTGGATTTTCTCCTCGTTTCCACGGCCACATGCGGTGCGGCGCGAAGGAACAAGCATTCGCAACAATGGCTTGCGAATCGATGTTGGGCGAGGTTGAGGAAGTGGCCGACGAATTTGCTAAAGAGCCGTTTAATCTGACTAACAGTAGAGGCTGAAATTAATCTTTCCATTAACCTCGAACATGACTGGCTGCAGGCGATTTTCAACTCCTTCCCGTCGGCTTCTTCATAAACTCGTTCTATGAAGATATCTTTCTCTTCCTCTGTCTCGAACTGATTAAGTTCAAGGAGCCCACCTGCGCGAGAGAAATATTCCTGTTCTTCTGCGTCGAGTAGGCCGTAGAAGGGCGCATCCATGGAGCTCGCTGGCCCCTCCTCGAGTGGGATATAGTCATCTCCAATTTTTGCTTGGCTATACGGAGGATTGGAGTCGTTGTAACCGTCCGAGGCTTTCTGTCGTTTCGGCGATTTGTGATCTCCAGCTTCATCGCCACGCTTTCGTTTGGCCTCCGCCCTCCGGCCTCGTTTTTGCCTCTCCCGAGGCATTGTAAAATTTATGTATGATTCGGATCTATAAAATATGCAGATAAAAGAACGGAACAACTCAGCGAGAAAAAGCTGCCCCTCCGTTTTACGGTGCATGTAATAGCTTACGTGATCATAAAATGCAAGCAAACAAAACAAACATTTAATAAACTTGGTAAATGATAACCTCAATTACTTGGAAGGATTGATTGGAGTTAAACCAGCTAACTTACCTCTTATCAGTTTCGGCTCAGACAAAATATTACAGGATAAATTTAGATTCATAGAACGACAACTAGCAAAGCTGCATTAAACCGCAGAGTACACAGCAGTGACATTCCGCCCACACTCGACCCGCTGCTCTAGGCTCACTTTTCTCCCGTCCAATTTAACAGTGCGGCGAGGGGTAATTTGAAATCGACTGTCCTCGCCCTGACGTTCGCGGGATATAACGTCAGCAGGAGGGTGGATGTGCGTTGGGGAGGCAATATTGTTTCTTTTCCCGGTGCCTAATTGGTAGAATTCATTTCCTCCCCACCAGAAAACGTCTGCACCCCAATTCGTATCTGTCTGGGAGCCGCCATTTGATGCTGAAACATTGGTGAAGTTGCTCAAAACAGCCGCAGCATGGGTTGCGCCTACCGAAATATGGCTTATACCAATGGGAACAACTTTCTTTGCAGCGTCACTATACTCAAATAAACCACTAAGAGCCTTGATTTTTGTCGGCGTGCTTTGGACATGAGTCCACTTCCCGGTCCCAAGGACACCGAACAACCCTTTCCCGCAGCTCCAAAGATCTGTAGTGAGTCGGCCTAGGTCCCTTACCGTGGCTGGAATCTCCATTGGGCCAAGTACCCTTTTTGTATTGACGATAAAAAAACTATTTGCGCCTCCAGCGGCAATACTTGATGTATTTATCTCACAGCCATTAGCAGGATAAAGACTGGCGAGCGGAAGAATTTGTGGCGTATCAATGAATGGAGTATTGACATTGGTGTCTAGTCCGAGCTGGCCCGAACTATTGTCGCCGAATACGAATACCCGTCCGGTTTTATCAAGAGCAAGGGAATGATAATCTCCAGCCGCGATATTTGTGATATGGATCCCGCGCAGCTCTCTAACTTCATGACACGAGTCATATGGTCCTTTGGGCCGATTGCTCCACGTCAGGCCCGGAACACCCAGTTGACCACGGGAAGGAAAATGTTCCGAGCTAACAGCAGCAGAAAATACACGACCAGAAGTTGTTAATAAAAGCAAATGTTCAAGGCCGCTACTGATCGCCGTAACCTTTTCACCCAACCCAAGTTGTGGCTGCAGAGGGCGGTAACTCAATTCAGCTCGGTTTCGCCAGAATGGAATCCAGGAGCTTTCGAAAGGTTTCCACCCATTCTCTTGATCTGATTTTGATACAGGGAGGGAATAAACATTGCCTCCAGAAGATAACGCAATGATCCTGTCCGCCGAAATACAAAGTGATACTAGGTTTTTCCCCTTGAGCGTCTTCGTTGGTTTGTAATCTGTTTTCGAATAGCCTTTTCCCCATTGAATCAAATCCCCGTTTTCTGTAATAGCGGCACCAAAACTCTGATCAAGTTTGACATCGCGAAGAACCATGCCATCGAAGTATGATATTCTCCTTGGAGTCTTGACAACGAATTCATTCGAGTCCGGGTTTGTAACCAACCCCGTATTAGACCCCCATGCATACAGCCCCGGCCGCTCCCAACTTCTCTTCACCTGGACATGCTGCGGACTTAGTGATTCCCGGTTTTCTTCTGTTGATAAATTCTTGCGGGTTTTGGCCTCCTGAACAATGAGCTCTGGGTGTTGATACTCCGAGGTTTCTCCAGCACTTTCCGGTCTATCCCTAGTGTAATAATATCCTAAGGATATAGCTGTAGTCACTCCTGCAACGACAATGTAAGGACTATATCGTCGTGCCACCACAGATTCCTTCGATGGTTCTTGAGGTCGGGCAGTAAAGTAGGGACATAATCGTGGGGCAAAGCATCGCGGGCTTTTGGACGGCAAGAAGCGTTGTGAGGCAAGCCGCTTGCTCCCTCTAGCAAACATCATCATGCGTGTTTTTATTGATTCTTACCCGTCCATCGAGCGACGACTTAGGATTGCTTGGCTTAGCAAATCCCAGATGAATGCTTCTGAGTCTTTCGATTTTTGCTTTTGACATGGTCGGACATTAACTTTTAGGTTCCGGGTTGGGCGGGCATGGCCGGCAGAATCATGACTTGGGCGCGAAATAGCAAAAGCGCTTCTGATACCAAACACAATCATCCTAGCTTCTTGATTTCATAGAGGCTATCTAATGCACGGTATGGAATCAGCGATATGATAGCTGACCATTACCAAATAATTATGATTCACTATGGCGTCTCAACCGGAGAATCAATGCCACCCTCCCAGTACACCAGCTTCGCCTCTCTTAAAAGCTCGCAATGAGCTAAGGGCTACGGTTAAGGAGATTGACAATGATGTTGACTTTGCTCATTGGTACGGCTCCATTGAAAATGACCTTCTTGAGGCTAGCTATGAAGAATACCAGTATCTATCACCCGGCTCCCTAATTCCTATTATTTTCTGACAAGAGTTAATCATCATGGACAGATCATGTCTCGATGAATTGGAAACATCAAAATTGCACCTCGATTCTCTTTTGACCGACACTACATCTACGCTGGAGCTCTTGTCCACTCTCTCTGAATCCTTTAAGTCCGTGGAGGCGCAAACATCTGCCTTTCGGCAACAATGTGAGGGGCTATTATCAGCACAGTTACGCAGCTCGAAACTGGCGGATGAGATTCATGAGAATTTGCAGTACTATGACCTTTTGGACCCGGTTTCACGGAGACTCAATGCTCCCGGCGCAGGAAACTCTGTGCGGACAAAAGATTTCTCAGACATGTTGAAGCGGCTAGACGAATCCTTAGATTATATGCAGACACATGTACGTGTATACCCACTTCCCCCTTTCTACTTTTAACGATGGTACTCATCTCAGAAGCCCGAACAAAAAGAATCGGAGACTTACAGGTCTCGCTATCATCTTCTTTTGACTCGCGCCCTCACGTTGATTCGTGGCCATTTCGTGTCCACCCTGAGAGAGATATCTTCCGGTGTTGCAAAACGAATCGCGGATCGACAACTCAACGACACAACTATGTCCGCTCTCCTCTATGCTAAATTTCGTGTGGGTGCGGCAGATTTGAAAGCAATCGGATTAGAAATACAAAAACGAGCCGTCCCCCCTGTTGACTCTGAACAAGGAACTGAACCTGAGTATCAAAGTTTACTTAATGAGCTTCATACTAGCTTTTCGGCTACGAGAGGCAAATTGGTGATACCTGTGTTGCGGAAAAGACTGAACGATATTGCCCAAGCCCCAAGCACTTCAAAAGACCTTGTGGTATTCGCGCGGGCCAGCATCAGCTATATTCGTGGCATATGTCTCGACGAGTTTGAACTCTGGGGACAATGGTTTCATGGTCAGCAAGGCCTTTACGATTTTCTAGAGTCCGTCTGCGAACCGCTCTACGACCATTTGAGACCAAGGATTATTCGCGAAACGAAACTTATCAAATTGTGCCAGCTTTGCTCACTCCTACAAACTCGTTACTTATCCGATCCCGAGGATGAGGGGGAGTGCGCTGACCCGACACAGCTTGACTTCTCTATCTTAATCCAGCCTGCATTGGAGGACGCGCAAACCCGTCTTGTCTTTCGAACGCAGGCAATACTGCGAGATGAAATTGAGAAATATAAGCCGCGCCCCGAGGATCTTGATTACCCTGCTCGCAATCGAAGCGTGTTATTGCAAGGGCCAGAGAATAACGAATCCCGCACAGTACCACACAGAAAGGCATCGATTGCTGGACCGACCACTCCACTCCCCAAGATGCCAATGGTCGTCGACGAGGACATTGATTCGCCTCAAGAAAAAGATGTGCGATGGGATTTTGATTCAAGAGCCGCGTTTGAAGGATGGTATCCAACTTTGAGGAAAGCAGTCTGGCTGCTCAGTCGCATCTATCGACTAGTGAATGTATGTTGAACTATTTAAATAACCTGTTAAGCCGTACCCTGTACTTCTCCATGCTGACAAACCATCCTAGTCCACCGTCTTCGACGACCTAGCACACCAAGTTGTCCACCAAACAACCATCTCCCTCCACGCCGCAAGCTCTCAAATTTCTACAAAAGCTTCTCCCGCAGATGCCCAGCTATTCCTTATCAAACACCTCCTCCTCCTCAAACAGCAGATTGTCGCCTTTGACATCGAGTTCGTCAGTCCCGACATCTACTTCGACTTCTCTGGCGTAACAAACACGTTTTGGGAACTCCGACAACGAGGCGGACTCTTCAACCCACGAAACCTTATGCGACTAGTTGGCGGCGGTCTGCTTCCCCGCGTCGTAGAAAACATGCTCGATGCAAAAGCGGAGCTCGACGGCAGATTACGCACGGTAATCAACGACTTCACCAACTCCTTCTCGTCGAAAATGACTACCCCCCTCGCCTCCCCGGCCAGATCTACAAACCGAAGCGAGTCATACAGTAACGCCTTACGACTTACCTGCAAAGCGATCGAGAAGGAAGTTCCCCATCTGCGACGAATTCTCGATCAATACCTTGATGACGTGAGGACGAAAGAAACGCTCGTTGGAGCAGTGCAAGATTCTGTGATTCAGGCCTACGAGGATTTCTACAATAGCTATATATCGACACTAGAAGGGGGGAAGGATGGAGTAACAAGTAACAAACTTTCGACCATGGAAAAAAGCCGAAAGGCTCAGGAAGATGGCGTGTGGGATGTTGATACATTTACGGGATGGAGCGAGACCGTTTTCCACGTTGGGGTTGCTGGCCTGGCGTCTTCAGAAGGTCGGGTTTCTGATTTGAGTGAAGAGGATGGAGATGTGAGGCGTGGCAGTGATGATATATCGTCGTCTGGAGAACGTCAAAGGCCAAGCAGGAATGGGAGTATGTGATAATAAACGAAAATCTGTTCAGATTTGTACAGTATATACATACTTCGGCGATTTCTTGGGGAAAATGCAATGTCCGCTTTCACGCATAGAATACAGAAAATGTGTTGTAATATACAATACCTCCATGCTTTAATCGCTCAACGCCTCATCCCATTACTTCTCCTTAGCCTGGATGGAGTTATACAGAGGTGACAGAATGAAGGTCAACAAAGCCCATTCGGAAATCAAATGTATGTTTATTTTAGCAAGAAGTCCGCCTGAGTCATGTATGCAGCTACCACTGCCGCGCCTGCGCTGCATCGGTCAGTTTGGGACAACAAGTGATGATGTTGGGGCAACAGCTGCCGTGCTCGCTACCAGTGCCATCTCAACCTCTCGTTTTTGTAAAGCTTCAACACATGATATTACATTTAAAGTATGACCTAATAGCAACAAGCCAGACACGAGGCTCAAACCTCGGCCGTTCGTCACAGGTCACTTGCTATATATATATATATCAGCTGATAGCGGCTATAGGGTCCTCTACGGTATACGTATTGTTATATCCTTTAGGCACCCAAAGATGTGGAAGGTGTAAAGCTTGATTGATTAATTGCTAGCTAAGCGGACCATTTTATATAGGGTAAGAGCGTTACACGAGACACGTGGTTGTCTCACAAAAGACACTTGTAATCTACACTCACTAGTTACTTGTAATACCTTCAGAGAATCTTCGGAATCATCACATATATCGAGAATAGAAAAAAATTCAAATCACGATTATAAAATGATTAAATTGAGAATAAGGTGAGAAGAAGAAATCAAGTTCTAAAAGAGAAAGAGATCTTTTTATTGGGTATAAAAGAAATGTATAGCCAAAATATACTATTTATCAATGAGTCATGCACATCACGATGCGGTTCCCTTGTCTTCAACCAAAAACAATAAATAAATAGAATATAACACCAATATCCCAGACCTCCAGCCACAGAATCTTTCCAAGCAGCAAACTAACAACACCCCGCCATCATCCATCCACCAATTGCATAAGAAGCAAAAAGTAATTGACAAAAAGATGAAGCAAATAGATGACGATGACTAGAGTTAATAGATGGTGGATGAATGATAACCGAAATTTGGGGGTAAGATGTCAACGCAGAACGCAGTTGTTTGAAGAATCTGATATAATCACAAGAATAACCAAACAAAAAATAAAATAAAATAACAAAGGCTTGCCGAAAATATATATGTTGTCGTTATTACCTAGCTGCTTAGAGAACATGTCGAATCTTCGCATGCAGCTCAGTATCCAGGAAGTTGTAGTGCGGGTCAGGTTTGCAAAAAGGGTGCTGGGAGAGCAGGGTTTCCGCAGTCGGGCGTTCGAAAGTATCACTAAAAAGAAAGAGAACATAAATTTTAGTAAATGAAGCGACATTTATCAGTTTCATTAATCGGGTTGATCTGAGGGAACGGTGGATTTAAACAGGAGAGAAAGTAAAGAAAAAAAAAGGTGGAAAGGAAACCCACATTGTAAAGCAATCATACATGAAAGCAAGAGCTTCCGGCGTGATTGCTACAGATACATCGTCAGGAATTGGCGGCGCCTGGTTCAAACTTCCCAGCTTGAAAATAGCTCCAATCGCCTCCTCCTTACTCCATGGTCGTCGGCCAGCGAACATCTCTAGCACGACGCAACCAAGGGACCAAATGTCGACTTTCGCACTATAACCTTGACCCTGTGATTGTACAACCTCTGGCGCCATCCAGAATACCGAGCCCTGCATTGAATTCGTAACATCATTTCCATATATATTATCAGTCTTCTTTGAGATGCCGAAATCAGAAATCTTGCAGGTACCGTCAAGGTCGAGAAGGATGTTGTCGGCTTTGAGGTCACGGTGAAGAATGCCTTGGTCATGAAGGTATGCCAGCCCGCTCAAGACCTGGTGTGTAAGAGACTTAACGATGCCTTCTTCGAACTTGCCGTGTTTGCGAAGGCAGCTCCCGATTGATCCACCGGGGATATACTCGAGATAGATGGAAATGGACAGTTCCCCGCGCTCGCACCCGAGATACTGTACAATATTGGGATGTTCGAGATGTTGCATGGTATCTATTTCTTGATCGAGAGCAGAAACCATCTCTTTCATTTTGTCCTTGTCATGGCCTGCAGCCTTTTGGTTGACTTCAACTTGTTTTACTGCCAGAATTTCTCCGTTATCTGCATTGATGCCGAGATATACCCTACCATACGTTCCTTTGCCGATAAGTTGACCTCGAATGATACGGAAAGTAGCTTGTCTCTGAGGTAGCTTATTCTGGGACCCAGGGTTCTGCGGCAGTGGAACTGGATGCTCACTCAGCCGACTTCCAGGTTTAACCTGCATAATCTTCGCACCGAACATCTTGGTACTCTTGCGTCGCAGAAGAGCACCCGATCTAGCATTGGAGGCTATTATGCTTTGGTTTCTGTGAACCTGGTGAGCGCCCTTCGCAACCTCACGGATTGATTTCATGCGGTTTAGTCCACCACCTTGGGATCGAGTGACATTTCGTTGTGCAATGGTATTAGCTGTGCCTTTTGCCTTCAGAGTGGACTCCGCTGAACCAAAAGAGTCCGTGTTGTCTTGAGACATTATAGAATCAAGGTTACTGTGAGCAGCTCTGCTTCGCAATGCCTGGCTGTCAGTCTCTGAGCCAATGGTAGGCCCGGGGCTGGTTGGAGATAAAGGAGGAGACATCATGCTTCCTTCCACGTACGGCTCATCCAGATCGACGTCTGGGAAGTAATCGTCTAGACGTTCAATCATACCCTCTACCGGAGGCCTGCTTGCCCAAATGTCGTCCCGGACGATTGATTCGGGACGATTGAACTCAAAGGCCTCTTGTGAATCTAACGAGTCATTTTCATTGCTGAGATGTTCATTCTCTCCACCTATTTCTTTGTCTGTGCTTCGCGTCGGTGGCGTATTGGATGTTTCTCTTATAATAGGTGATTTGAAGCTTACAGACATCCCCTTGGCTCCTCGTCGACCGGTATTGACAGTGAGAGCAGGTTTTGCAGACCGACCTTGGATAGCACTTCCGTTGTTTGTCGATGTTTTATTCATCTTTGTTAGCGTCACACTCTTCGCGCTAGCCAGCGGTATAGCAAATAGACCTTCATCTGAATCTTCATCTGAATCATCTTCAGCAGCTGGTGCTTTCGCGAAAGACACTTCGGTCTCCTGGAAGTCGAAGTCAGGACCAATTGACTTTCGATTTTCTGCCAAAGTAGAGCTGATTTTAGCAGATGATGGACTAGCGGAAGCAGAGCTATCAAGATCTGTGCGAAGTAAATTCATGTTGTCAGGGAGAACAAGAGTCTTCCCACGCCCATCGCCTTCGTGAGGTGCTTTAAAATTGGAAGTACCCTTCCCACGGGAGAAAAAGGGCAATTTCGGCGAAGATGGACTGTTTCGTCGTCCATCACGATCGTTGAGGTCGACGGATTGCAATGAACGGCCCTTTCCGGAAACAGGCTCAGATTCAGAGCGTGGAGAACGACTAGAGACAGTAATTGGACTGGGGAATGGTTTCCCAATAGCACTAGAAACTTTCCCAATGCTAGCCAACGCTGCTCCAACCAATCCATCACCCACCCCAGACGAGGGGGTATTTGAAGTTGGGGTCCATGGTTTCTCTCTACGTTCTTCAGATATCTGTTCAGCAGAACTGCGCTTAGAACGATCAGTGTCATAACCTTTGGGCGGACGATCACCTGGCTTTCTGCTCAAAGAATTCACTTTAGAGAGCGTGCTCGACTCTGACGGTGCCGATGGCGGTTTTCGTAGTGGAACTAGGTTATCCGGTTTCTTATCTTCGTAGGGAGAAAGTCGACGTGAATCAAAATCTATTACACCATCCCGCCTTATAGACACCTGCGGTGACTCTTTCTGTTGCTGATGTTCTTGTCTTGATTGTAAATAAGCCTTCTGTTTTCGTTCAGCTTCTCGCCGATATTCTTCATGAGCTGCTAATATTGATGCCTCTCTACTTTCCAAATCTAGATCGATATCATTGCCATTTTCGCCAGGGCTCCGAGGGTCATAAGGGGAGAATTTGTTAGTATTAGGCTTCATCCCTGGCTGAGACCTATGGGAGGGCGATACTGTTCCCACATAGTTCCTAGCTTCATCATTCACCATATTTCTACCTAGTCGAGCGCGTTCTGCCAATGAGAGGCCCAAGCCAGTTGGCTGGGTCACCGGTACAGTCGCAGATGGAGTGGTGAGGTGAACGAAAAGTTTCAAAGTGGCCTGGGCGTCTGATTTTGTCCTGCGATTCACAACCAACATTGTATCACTAAGCGGCTCCTCGTGGGTGATTTGACCAAGTTCCGTAAGATATATCAAAGCACTTCCCGGGTCCTCGATACCTAAGCTATGGCATATAGTAGCTCGTAGTGTGTCTGCAGCATCCACGTCTGTGAGATCTATTAATCGGTAATTCCATCCATCAGGGGTAGCCAGAGCGAATCGCCTTTGAGGCACGTTAGTTGTGACCTTTCGAGACCGTGATTGGAGCCAATCATAATCAGAAACGGAAGGAGGTCTCTCATTTAGGGACATATCGCTGCCGTCGTAACCTTGTCTCATAAAAGCCGAGGTTGGAGGGAGATGGCGTGCACCTGCTGGACTTGTAGGCGAGTCGGCATTTATCTCATCTGAGCCAGCATGTATTGAATCAGGGCCCTTCTTCCATTTCAATTTATGAAAGAACCCTTTACCGTGCTCCTTCGGCAATGATTCACCTAGTCCTTGGCGCGTGCATTGGTCTTGTGGCGATGGCCCTGATCCGTTTTTCTTGGAATCGTTTTGTCTACTAGCTCCATGGGCCCCAAAGAGGGATTGAGATGCGAACCCTCGGCTTAGCAGTGAGTCAGAGCTGTGGCGCTTCTCAGGTCTCCCGGTATTTTCTGCGGAGTAAGGGACATATTCTTGGTGCGCCATCGTGACCATATGCCGTCCAGGACTGCTGCTTTGAGGATTATCTTCGGAAGGCAGTGGAATTCCATTGTCGCTTGATGCCGACGGGCTATGTCCCCGCCGGCCATCCAGCATTCCGAAAACATTTCGGGAAAAGTCTGAGCGGGAATCCTGGGTCGGAAATTCAGAACGCTGGCCGGAGTGCTGCTTTTGAGCGGAATTGGGTGTTGTTCTGGCATATTGCTGACTAGGGCTGCTTTCAGCGGTTCCAGAACCGAAGTTTGTGAACGAATCCCGCCGTATATTAGGCGAATTTTCTAATCCATCCTCCGTAGATGCGCTAGGCAGCATATGACCCTCGTAGTATCTGGCGCCCAGAGTTGCATTTTCCGAACTTGCTTGATCAGCAATTCTCCTGATTAGCTTTCGCATCCGTTTCCCCTCCTCTCGCTCTTTTGCCCTATCCCACCCAGTGCCGCTCTTTGCGCATTCATTGGCAAGCTGAGGATATACCACGTTGTGCATTTTACCTAGGTCTTTTCTGCCATTTGCACGACTACCTAACTCCACGAAACTAGCACCGTAGAGGTTTAAAACCCGAAAAGTCTCCTGCCAATGATTGGAAAATCCATTTTGAGCAAGCCACTGTAGTACACGATCAAGAGGCCACCTTTCGTCGGCTTCCTGAACCGTCATGCCGCCGACCAGGCATTCGTTTGCCTGGCCAGAATCGCGGGATTGCGGGTTGTGTAAAGTGGCAGTTGGTGGCCCGGAAGAAAGAGCATCCTGGCGGTCACGCGACGGAACGTTTAACTGATGTGACCGGTTCCCCGAATTACTCCGTAGAGTCCCATCATTATATGTTGAGTTAGAAACGTGCCTTACGCTTTCCGATTCAGCGGCATATCCGTAGCGCTCAGCGCGTACATAAGCCTCCTGAGGGTCGTGGGTGAAGAGGGGAGGAATCCCAACTCCGGGGCCGAACGATTCACCCCCTGGAATATAGGTTGCCGATGTAAGGGGGTGTGTCTCATTGTTTATCGATCGAGAAGGGATGGCTAAGGGGGCGGGCTGATGCCGAGAACAGGTAGCACTGTACGCTAAATGTGGGTTTTGAGCTTGGTTGGAAGAAAGAAGAGGTGGCGGTGGTGGTGGAAACGGTTGTGCCATTGCTTGATGCCTTCCCCATCCTTGTTGCCATGCCGACTGCACTCCATAGGCTGAACCTGGAGGAGGGCCGGGAGGTGGTGGAGGGACATGGGCGTGACATGTATGGTGCATCCGAGGGGGTGGTGGAGGGAATGGCATCATATGCGTTGGTCCGCCAGGCTGTCCGATGTGAGGCGGCGCCGGTATATACTGTTGCCGTTGGCCATCCATAACGTCACCCCGATGTCTTCTCTGACTGAATAAAATACGTCAAAGAAAAGCTATCAAGACGTGGTCATGATTGGCAACAACAGCACAGAATATGTTGGCAGATTCACACATTGATTCGACGGTTCCGGCGCATTATATGAGGCGAGGCGTAACCAATAGGTTAAATATTTTCTCCGAGGGTAATGGTAAATGGTTCGTTGAAAGCGATGTGCATGGGCCCAGATGTAAGTTGCGGGGTGTTGAAATTATTTGACGAGCGATTTCTTCCAGACCTCAAGCCCCTAATATATAAAACGATATCACGTAATGTCGCCGACACAGGTCCAGACCAGTGCAATTTCTCTTGACGCAAAACGGTATCAAAATGGCTAGAAGAAAGTGTGGGAAGAAAGTGTGGTGGAGGGTCAACCTAGAAGGGCGAAACGTGAAAGCATATATGTCAGCAAAATATTCTAAAATATTCTAAACTCTTGTAACGGCGTGTGAGCAGGAGAGAAACGAACAGGAGAAGCTCAAAGTGCACGCCCTTGGAAAGAAGATCCCAGAACTGAAACAAGCGGGGGATGTGTCGGTGGACAGAGCAACAAGCGGGGAGGAATCGCTAGGCGGAGTAGTTACGGTGTCGACGGCAGCAATAAAGGGTATCCAAAAGCCAAAACAAGACCAGAGTAACTCACTGCCCAGGGAGGTACTTCTGCAGCCAACTCCGTGCGATGATGGTGGACATCTCAAGGTGGTTGTCTCAGTTGCCAGTTTCTCAGGCGTTGCTCTAACTGCCCAGCCGCCCAAGCGTTGTTGCCAGCCCACGTGACGCCCAGCAACCCTGGGTCTTCCACTGCGTGTGGCGGCTGGGAGTTGACTTGTCGAGTCTCGCGCGGCCTTGATTCTCTAGCGCCAGCCCAGGCACCAAACACTGGCAAACACAGTGATCGAAACCCGCTTGACGCTCCTCTTGGCCCTGGCCCAAAAACGATGATCTCCCGTTGCTGACTGCGCGGACTGCCTCGCCAAAATCTCTGAAATCGGGTGCTATGATTACATAGGATGCTTGCTTGGGAACTTCGAGGAGCTGGCCTGATTTGGCAAAATAAATTGTGCGCCCTACGCGGCGTACAGGTCGAGTCCTCTCTACCCATGGGCTTGCTCCCCTCCTGACCTGCATACAATTGATTATTGCGTCATGTAACTTTTAACCGTTCGGACAAGGCAAAATTAGAGTTCAACTGTTGGTCCCCCTATCCAAAATGCGGCGCAAACGTAACACACCTCCGTGAGAGCTTCACCATGATATGTGAATCCGTTCGGTCTATTTCATTGGCTATCCAAGATCCGCTAAAAATGGCTCACATATCCAAAGACCAACCTCTTGCCATTCTAGCATCTGCCTTTATGAGGACAGATGTTGAACCAAACCGGAAAAAAAAAAAAAAAAAAAAAAAAAAAAAAAAAAACACTCGGCCATCCTCTTATGATACCTGGGGTTCAGCAACAACTACAATTTGAGCAAAGTGTTCTTTGATGCGTTTCCAACTGGCTTCCATCAGTGGGGAAATCTGGTTTCTACACGATATTCCCCAAGTTCGCCCAGACTGGGGTAATCGCAGAATAGGAGAACTGGAACAAGGTCTCAATGTTATATAAAGCCCTGTGGGTAGCCAGCATACAGGCTCTTTCAACATTTTTAGAAATTTGATGAATACCAGGTTTCGATCGGTTAGATTATTCAGCATATTAGCTCAGACGGTGATAGGAAGAGAGGGTGGAGATGGTAGAGGCAAATTTTTCCGTTGTCATGATGTATATCAGGCCCGAGTCCCTGGAAACATATTTGCAGGAGACTTGATTTACATACAGTAGAAGCATTTTGCCGACTCTGGTTCTATCAATAAACGCCTCAGTCGATGAGCGCTCGCTCAATCGTATTTAATGTTGATTATTCATTGATCTTCAAAGATGATATAGCCATCAGTAGTGGGACTAGTAAGGAGAAGAAATAACCAAGTCCACTTATTTCTTCCAGTTCTGAGCTTTAAAAATTAATCATTAAAAAAGTGTTACTTACGTACTTGATTTCTTGTCATCCATGAATATTATTTTGGTAGGTTTCTGACTCAGGGTCATCATTTCTATCTACTTCAGGCTATTTTTGTTGGACCCTGATGAAAACCAAATAATAGTTACTTTAACGAAAGGTTTCCTGCACTAACGATTTTAACGATTTCAAGTGAACCGGAAGGTGGGGAAGGGAAAACCACTCTTGCTATCACCTGTATGCTGATGACAACTGATACTCGATGGGATGCATTTACATAATTCCTATCTGAATGTATGTATGGCGCCTATGTGCCCGTACCCCAAATGCAGGAGTGATTCATGAAAAATAAAGCAAAGAAAATCCCCAGTCTTATTCTACCAAAAGATTTTGGTCGGGAAGATTTTGGTCGATGCATTCAATGAATATGCCCTCCATAGAGGGTGTCTCCGCTCCATTCTTCCTCTTGCCAAGGCCAGCGGAATGTGCGGGGGTTCTTGGACGGTTTGCCAAGACTCTGGGCTTCTTGTGTCGGGCCATTTTATGATTTATTATTCTGTATGGTCCAGATCTTCTGGTTTCTTCTGGTTATGGTTCATCAAAGCAGGAATCGGTAACTCAACCATCGGTTAGAGTGTACTCCGTACTATTTTAATTTTCCCAGCGTGGTAAATAGAGAAACCCTGTGGTTACGAGTGCGCATAAATAAGCCTTAGATTCTAATCCCGAGGAATATTTTCGCATTAACCCGATGTCGGCGAGGTCATTCATTTATCTCGACCCGAGGAAGGGAATGCATGAGCAACACGCCTAAGGTTCACGCTAGGAGCACTTATCGCCCCCAACCAGTTGGATCACACACTCTCTGCTCTTCTCATCTTCCCCGTCTTCCAGCGTGAAGGAAGCAAAGGAGGGAGGGTCACGGGGGTGAGCACCTATAATCTCAGCATAACAACAACAAAGAATAAGTAGAAAAATAAAGAAGAAAAACACAAAGATCCTCAGCCCGAATATATATATATATATATATATATATATATATATATATATTTTGAGGGACGACAAAAATCTATTGTCATTTTTCCATGAGAAGAAGCAGCATCACTGTGATTGATAACTTCATGCAAACGCTGCGCTGCGCCACACTGCTAAGCTCTTGCTGGCTGGCTCACAGAAGCCAGAAGAGACTACCTCATGGCCTTACGGGAAAAAAGGGTTAGCACACCCCGGTCATGTTGAGGTACATCCATGTGCATGCACATGCCCCATGCACATGGCGGCGCATCCCCCACTCTGTTAAAATATCGTGGTGTGGAGGCTATATCAATTGATTGTCGGAGTGACGGGGTCAACCTGGAAGCCGTGAATGGTTCCTGCAATGATGGATACATGCGTCCTTACAGCGTCGTTCGACGTAATAAAATAGTACTACATTGATATGATTTGGGGCGTTTGACACGATGTGACTGGACAATCAATACTACAACTGATATATGATACCATGATATATGGTCGTAGTCGGTTCGAGGAAAGTCGCACCTTCATAAGGGGTCAACTGGGGGAGGGATGTCAAATGCCACCGTCAGAACAGGGGTACGAGGGCGAGGAGGCTGCTGGGGGAATGGCTTGGCTAGACTTGGCCGTCGGAAATACTTGGCTCGCTTGGCTGCGTCGTATTAGTGAAAAGCACTCTCTGTCACTTTTTTTTTTTTTTTTTTTTTTTTTTTTTTTGATGCGCTTTTTCCCTTCCCCACCTTCTCTGGCAATATCAAAATTGACTGGTCAGTCAATAACTCGTGTTAATCTTCTTAACAGTTGGCACAGTGGCGGCGGGAAACCATCTTAGCATTCATATTATTATGGCGGGACAATTTACAGCCCGAACTTCTTCAAGTTGAGGGCCAAGCAATTCCGAGAATGCTCCCAGAGGCCCCAGGATCCGAGCAAACCGTCACAAGGGGTATTACGAAGGGCGAGGAAACAAGGTTCGTGGCTGTGTGCCACCTGTATTTTGGGCGGCAACACACCCGTATTACAGGAATAATACAGCGTTACGCAACGCCAAGGATGCCCAGACGCTCAAGGTCATTTTCCCCCTCCCTCGTTTCCTCTGGTCTTATTGCAGGCTGATTTCTTGGCCGCCCGAGGTCCCTTGTCCGCCCACTGCTTTTGGCCTTCGCGCTGTCTCAGCCTGCTCTGCTCCGCTCATTATTGATCTGAATGCGCTCCCGAATGAAGCGGAGATGCGGGGATGTGTACAAGCCGACTTTTGAGATCTTTGGCCGTTTGGAATCTGCTAAGCGTGGGGATACGGATGCGGACGGTAGGTATTGACTCAGAATCGAGGAGATGAATGCACATGTCGATCCTTTTCCTTTTGTCCCCGCGATATGAATTAGATTCAGTCGGTTTAATTCGGATGGCTATATTTGATTCAGGCAAATGGGATTAATATTTAGCAAGGTAGGCCCGAAATACGTTGACAAATTACATGGCGAAATCAAACTCGTCTCAATTTATACACGAACAATAGCCGTTCCAGGGTAATACGGGAGTGTATGGAACTGAACATAGAGCGGAGAGGGTTAGCCGCACACCTGAT